TTATCCACTGAACTCTTAAGTGTGTGAAAGCATATGTGTGTAGTGGCCTTAGATTCTTTTTTCATTTTACTTTTTATTGTGGAAATCCACACATAAATATACATATACAAAAAGAGAGAACAATGGCATTGTGAACTCCCAGCTTCAACTCAGGGTCAGTCTTATTCTTCCATATAATTCTCCCCACTCATCTAATCTCCCCCTTAATTATTTTGAAGCAAATCCCAGACATATGTGTCATTTTGTTTGAAATTACTTCAGGATTTTATTCTAAAAGACAGTAATTCTTTTTTTTCTTACGTATGCAGATCAAAGACCTACACTTTTCCATATCCCATGTATCTCCCCAGAATGTTTTCTGCATGTCCTTTCTGGTCAATGCTCCCTGCTTCACAGGAGGCACTATCCAGCTGGCTGAACTTCATCCTTCTTTCTGCTGCCAATCTCATGCTCTCACTTCAGCCTGCAATGACTCTCTGCATCCTAAGGAAAGAGCCCTAAGAGATGAACTTTAATCCTGGCCTCTTCACTTCACCTCTCTGAGGCTCTTTTATTTGTTCTACTCAATGGCTGGTTTCCTTGCAGATCTTTTCTCCCCCCTTTAGGGTCAGCCAATAGGAAGACAGGTAGGTGGAGGACAGGTGGGTGGGAAGAGAGAAGAAGCCAGGCTCTTTCTCCACCACCCTCACCCCACATTTGCTTTCTAACATTGCCTGCAGTTGGCTGTGTTTCTTCCTTCTCTTCTTCCATAATCCTATGTCCTACCAGGCAGCCCCTACTGTTTAGTTCCTGGCAAATAGCTCTGGAGGCTTTTGGGTCTATAATGTGACATTAATTACCCTGTTGTCTTTCCAGCCCTCGAGACGATAGATGCTTCCTGCTTTGCTGTTTTCTAGGTTGCCTCACTGTCTCCTGTTGGCTTCTCCATCAGCCATACCAGTTCCCTGTGTTAAATTTCTTTTGTTTGAAAGATTAGACTGTTTCCTGTTTCCCAGCTAGACCGTGATTGACGAATCTTATCAATACATGCCTACCCAACCTTCTTCAGGAGGATGAAGGGAGACTCACAGTAGTGAGGAATCCATGAATTATTTGTAACAAGGCCATTGTCTCTGCTTCTTCTCTTTCATGCTCTTCACCAGTTTCCTTGAAGTGTTACTGGTTTCCACTGGGCAACATCAGCCTCAGACTAAGGGCCCCATAGACCCTCAGAATGCGGGTGGGTGGGGCACTTCTCCCAAGCCTTCTTTGGAGGAGATTGTTGAGTGAATTTTCTTCCCATAGGCCCATGAAGAATCCAAAAGGAAGTTGGTGAGAATTAATTCAGACCCAAGGGTCTGTAAACACTGAAAAATGTGTAATTGATGAGCGCTGTCCTTCTCTATAGCATTTCCGCTTACACTGGGGACAATCCCTTAGCCCAGTCGTCTCAACTAGGGTGACTGCCCCCCAGAAGACATCTGGCAACATCTGGAAAGGTTGATTGTCACAATTCAGAGGGTACTATGGCATCTAGTAGGTAGAGGCCAGGGATGCTGCTAAGCATCCTATAGTGCACAGGACAGTACTTCCCATGATCATGAATTGTCTAAATGTCAATAGAGCCAAGGTTGAAAATTCCCACCTTCACCCAAAGGAATAAGCTTGTAATGGTGAACTTCTATGCATCCTTCCAGGTGACTGTACTAGGAGTGGCTAGAAGGGATTTTCTGGGGGATCATTTTAGATTAAAGAGAAATTCACCCTATATAAGTGCAGATAAAAGGACCACTTTTCCCCACACTGGGGTGGCCACTGTGGAGAGGCTACTTATCTCTAAGTTTTAAAACTAAAGAGTTGCACTTCAATGAATAACACATTTTTACCCAAGGAAGGATACAGGATGAAATGGAAAAAGTGAATAAAATGTAGATAAATTAATAGACCACAAGTGAATGGCTTACCAGAGGAAATTAAGATGTCCTATATGTCACTCTCAGTCAAAAATGAACCTGGGGCCTTAGCCCAGATGCTAATTCTGGTGTCTTTTGCACAGTGGGTCAGCAAGTAGGGCCACCAAGATGAAAATGCCTGGTGCCTGACTTCAGAGAACTCAGAATATGACCCATGCATGAGTAGATGCACAAACGCACACACCAGGATAATAACAGTATGCAGACGTAAGAGCTGCAATCGTGTTTTAAAGAAGGCTCTGTCTGGAAGTGTGGTGGAGAAAGTGGTTTCTTCTATAGTCTCCTGTTCCCCAGAGAACAAGAGGCAGGAAGACCCTTTGAACTCATAACCCTCATCCCACTATAGACCCTGTTGTTTCACTTCTCTCCCTGTAGCCTGTGCACATTTTATGGCCACACCACAGAGTTAGAGTATGGCTGGTGTTGGGTGCGGGGAGGCAGCCCTGCAGGAAGGGAAGGGCTAGAGCTCTGAGAGAGACAGGGGTAGCTTCCAAGACAAAGTCTGCAAGCCCCCAGGTCCCCACAGAGCAAGACTCCGCTTCTCCGGAAGTTAGGGTAGCGGCACTGAGCTTGGTGAGGGGAGGCTCGGCTCTCAATCTGGCCCCACTGAAACCCCTGGGTGACTGTGGGCAAGTTGCTTTGCTTCTCTGGGCTTTTCAGTTCCCTCGTGTGTGAAGCAAGCAGCTAGTTGCAGAGTCAGCTGGGAAGGGCCTTTGCAACCGTCTGGGCTGCCTTATCCGCCCACTCCTGCCATTTTGTTTTTCAGAGAGGTCAAGTGTCATTTTCAAAGTCACATACAAAATACACATGCGTGTGCGCGCGCGCGCGCGCACACACACACACACTATTGATTTCAGAGAGGAAGGCAGAGGGAGAGGGAGAGAAACATCAATGATGAGAGAATCATGGATCAGCTGCCTCCTGCCCGGCCCCTACTGGGGATTGAGCCCACAACCCGGGCATGTGCCCTGATTGGGAATCGAACCCAGGACCCTTCAATTCACATGACCAATGCTCTATCTGCTGAACCAAACCAGCTAGGACCACACACAGAGTTTAAAGGCAAAAATGGAACTCAGAATATATGAGTGCATGGTAGAGGGAGGGGTCAATGGGGGAAAAATGAGGCATCTGTAATACTTTCAACAATAAAGGTAAATTTTAAAAAATACATGCAAGTCTGTACAGGCACAAAAAAGATAGAGATGGATACACCAATTACACTGGCTTCCCTTGGCTGAGGGGTGGGAAAGGAATGGGCCAAAGAGAAGCTTTCGTTGTTCTGCTCACTTAGGCATTATTGGAAAATCGTATTGCCACAAAAAAATGTACTTGGGTGTTTCTGCACTTGGAAAGATAATATTTAAAATGGAGCTATGACAAAAGTGCAGGTTTCAGATTTCTGTTTTTCTCCTAACAACAAGCTCGCTCTGGCCAGTTCCAGATCCGGGCTGCTGCGGTCTCTGAGCTGCCACCCTGTCCTTGGCAGGCTGCTGCAGGGACACCGCACTCCCGCTCAGTCCAGACCTGGCCCTTGCAGTTCTCCTCCCAGAGCTCTTGAGAGGAAAACTATTTGCTTGTGCTTCCTAAGCCAGCGGCTGGGGTTTCAGGCAGCACATGGGAAAGGCAGGGGGTGTCTCTCAGAACCTTTGAGATCAAACAGGCAGGATACAGCCATCCCATCAGTAGATGGGATTGTCCCTACGTTAAGGTCCTGAGTTGAGGGAGAATGGAGTTTCTGGGGGTGTCATGGGAAGGTGGGGACGAGGTAGAGAGCTTTTTACAGGGCCAGGCAGGTGACCCAGGACCAGCCTGCTGGTGAATCCATGGACTGTGTGTGAGTGTGGGAACCTCCCTGGCTTTCAAAACCAGGGCCAGGGTAGCCCGGAGTCTGTGGCTAGTCCATCTTGGGGAGTAAATGGCAAAAGCCCTAAGCAGACAAGCCCGGAGGAGGAGGAGACTTCAGATTCTGTTTCCCCTCGGTTGCTATTTTGTTTTGTGTCCTCACACAACTGGCTTATTTCTGTGGAGGGTCAGTTGATTCATCAGGAAAATGAAGAAAAAGCCAGCCTTTCCCTTCTCAGCTGGGTGTCCCGAGCAGGCATCAGAGGGAAAGATGGGACTGGGTTTGGAATCCAGGCTGACAGTAGCTCTGGCTTTAAGAGGCCACAAGAAACTGCCCAGACAGAAAGCAGCCTGGTTGTACCCTGAGCCTAGAGTTCCCCACTACCCTCTTCTTTGCCTGCTGAAGTCCCTGTTGTTCCTTACGACACTCAGCTGAGATGCCACCTTCTCCAGGAAGTCTTCCTGACTCTCTCCAGGCTAGATCCTCTCCTTCCCTCCCCAGGCTCACTAAGCCCAGGGCTTTTATCTCTGCTACTGGAATCCTCATCTTACTATATTGCAGGCCTGTCTTCTCCCACCTGTATCAGTGCCTGTGCTGAGCACATTGGAGGGATGACCGTGCCCACTCCTCTGAGGGAGCAAGGAGGAAGGAGAAGCCAGGGAGCACACTCAGGGCTGCTTGCTGAGGGTCCACAAGGGGCCAACCTCTCGCTGTCACAGGGGGCCTGGGCTGTGTGGATGGGTGTCCTGTGCCTGTTTGGACCCTCTCATTGGGCCTGATTCTCTGACCCTTCCCTCTCTGCTTGGCATTTTGCTGTTTATGCTCTTGTTGGATTCAGTTTGGGCAGAGACTTTGGAGGAAAAGCCCCTACAAAGAGCACTTCCTTTCTTCCTTGCAGGGCTGGTGTAGACTTGGCCATGCCTGCCCTCTTCCTCCCAGACGCCCCATGCTACCCACATCCCTCCCTGCCCCCTCAGTGCCTGCTGTCCCTGGGCTCCAGGTCCCTGGCCTAAGTGCCCCTGCCTGTCCCCTACCTGCCTCTCAGTGCCCACATTCCTGCAACCCCGTGACCACAACAGGGGACATTACACATTCCTGGTCTGGCAGCCAATGGTGTAAAAGAGAACAGAATGTCCCAGGGCCCCGCCTAGACCCCAGCTTCACCTGGGCTCCACCCTGGCCTGGACAAGGTAGGGGGTGATGGCGAGGAGTCAGGAGGGAAGAGGATAAGCCAGGGGGGGAGAGGCAGAGAGGAGCTTCGTGCTGAGTGCCAGGAGGTACTCCCATAGAGTCCTCTCCACCACCTGGGGGTGAGGCTGACCTGTGGGTGCCCTTGGAGGGACTCCCCAGGGAGGGAACCCAGCTCCTGAAAGCCCACGTGAGGCTCCCTCCATGCTCTCCTGCAGGGGAGGGGAGAGTCCCTTTGGGGCTGGCTCCCTCCTCTTCATCTTCCTCTCTCTGCCTCTCCTCCATGCCCCCTCCCAGTTCTTCATTCTGTCCTGCATCTGTTCCCTTTTTCTGCCTTCCCTGCTCTCCTGGTCTCTCTCCCTTAGTCTCACTGTCCTGGCTTGTCCTTTTTCCTCGTTTCTGCCCTCCTCGCTTTGTGTTCAGGATCCTTCTCCCCGGTCAAGATTTCTGACTCTCCCTTGCCGTTCTGTTTCTTGCCTGCCAGCTTCCTATCACTCCCCAGGCTGACTCTGCTTCTCTGACCCTACTCCCAGGTCAGCCCTCGGGAGTCCTCCTCCTTCTGGTTCTATAGCTCGGACTCCTCCTCTGACCGGCCCCTCCCCCCACTCCCCCCCTGCCCTGCTCACCTTTAATTGAGATGCTAATGAGGCTTCTGTTGCTTCCACCCAGGCCAGCGGGCGGGCTCCCAGGCCGGTCTCTGCACCTGTCAGGTGAGGGGGAGGAGAGGCTCTCGGCTGCCAGATTCAACTAGAAAGGAACCAGTCCCGGTCCAGTCACATTTGGGAGTGGGGAGCAGGTGGCAGCCAGGACTCCTGGAGTCCTGCCATCCTTGGGAACCTGGGACAGAGGGAGTCAGGACACAGCGAGTCAGGACACAGCCCAGGAGCAGGACAGGAGACTGGAGGAGAGAGCCTGGACTGAGAGGGCAGACGGGGGAGAACGAGGAAGAGAGGCAGGATCAGAGAGCTTGGCACACAGAGGAGCTGGGTGAGGAAGGAGAGAGTAGGGAAAGACCCAAGAGAAAGAGAGAGAGAGAGAGAGAGGGGAGGAAAGGAGAGAGAGAGACCAAGAACGGGACGAACTACTAAGCAGAGGCTGATGGCTGAGGAGACGAAAAGGGAGGTCCTGGGATTGAAACCAAAAGGTGACCTTATCAGGGAAGCAGAGGAGAGGCCACTCCAGCGAAGCCCAGCTCCAGCTCTGGCCCTGGCTCCAGCAGGTCAGCTGGCTCCTGGGCAGGTGGGGGGAGGGAGGAGTGGGATGTGGGCATGGCCTGGAGCAGCCTCTCCCTGGGGTCAGGCTGATGATGGGAAGGGCACTTGGAGCCCAGAGCTCTGCCCTGACCCTGACCCTAACCCTTCACAACTCACCCAAGGGCTCATGAAGGGAGACAAGTGTGAGGAGCCGGGGCCGGACCCCAAGTCCGCGGCCCCCCAGCAGCCCACGGAGGAGGAGGAGGCCCTGATCGAGTTCCACCGCTCCTACCGAGACCTGTTCCAGTTCTTCTGCAACAACACCACCATCCACGGCGCCATCCGCCTGGTGTGCTCCCAGCACAACCGCATGAAGACGGCCTTCTGGGCCGTGCTCTGGCTCTGCACCTTTGGCATGATGTACTGGCAGTTCGCCCTGCTGTTCGAAGAGTACTTCAGCTACCCCGTCAGCCTCAACATCAACCTCAACTCTGACAAGCTGGTCTTCCCCGCTGTGACCGTCTGCACCCTCAATCCCTACAGGTCAGTTGCGCCCACCCACTTCCCCCCCACACCACTTCCTGGTGCCTGCCAGGGTAGCGCAGAGAGTACTGAGGTGCCCACTGGGCAGGCAGACCCTCAGGCCCAGGGGTAGAAGCCAAAACTGTCCCCAGGCAGGCCTCCCTTGGGGCAAGATTGGGAGCTCCCCACTTACTGGGCTGGCAGTTCGTTCTGGTAGAGCTTTCCTAGTGCCCACCGCTTATTCTAAGTGTGGTTGTTGGACCACCAGTGCCATCCTCCTCCCTTTCTCCCGCAAGCAGTAGGGGGCGCAGGTGAGGTCAAGATGCTGCTGATAACTTCCCAAAGGGCAGGTTGGAGGTCATCCCCATTCTTTCCCTGGAGGCAGAGGAGAGCAAAGACCAGGGCCTCCTCCTCCTCCAGAGAAGAACCTGTCTCAGGTGCTATGGCATGGGTGGTGGGAGCGGGCAGGGCCTAGACTCTGTTACGTCTGTCTTGGGTCAGACGGGGAGTTGGTGTTGGAGAAAGCAAAACGAGGGATGGCGGCAAAGCAATGGTGAGCCTCGGGATTGGGGGTGGAGAGTTAGGGAGCCAGTAGGAGAATGGGGCAGGATAGCTGTTCCCCTGTCCCCTAGTCCAGCTGGTTGCCCAGAAACTCAGGTGAAAACGGGGAGGCGATCCCTGCCCAGGAACCTGGGTGTGTCCTCAAGTTTTGGGTTTCACCAGTGCTTTTTGCCAACGTTTGGTCTGGAGGCCGGAGGGGGTGGTAAAGTGTGGAGAAGAAAGGAGGGTGCGGCTGGGTGTTTGTTTGTACCTTGTATTTGTGGTCACTCAGTCATGCAGCACGGTGGGAACCCCTGCCACCAGCCATTCACAGCGCGAGGCACCTGGCAAACGGGCTTCTTAATAATTCGGACCATTTTCGTGGAAGGCCTGGTAATTTGCTGGGTCCTGGGAAAGAGAAAACGGCAGTGCTGGGCGTATAGACAGATGCCTGCAGCGCACTGTGCTAGTTATAGTAAAAATTGTGTGAAGTCTAGTCTCTACCTTCAAGGAGTGGGAGATTTATGGGTGCGTGTGTTAGCAATTGTGTGAGTGTGTGGATGTGGGTGAGCAAACACGTTGGGTATGCGTGCAGTGGAGGACTGGGTTTGGTCACATGTTGGCGGTGAAGGTCCCCATATATTCTGTTGTATCCAAAGGTGTGTCTTGGGCTAATAAGGGTTGGGACGTCCTGTCCTGCAGAGAAAAAACAGCTGGGCTGTTTGTAGAGCGTCTGGGGTAAGGGGCCATTTCCTATGGAGCTGCTTTTACTACTGAGTCCTCTGCAGGCCCTTCCTTTAATTTTCCTAACGATCCTCCAAGGCAGGTACGACTAATACCCCACTGTACACTTGAGGAAACGGAGGCAAAGAGAGACAGCTCACAGGGCCACAGAGATAGTAACTGAGCTGGACCCTCTGTTTGCCTGATCACAAACTCCTACCTCTTCTCAATACCTAAGATGTGGGATGTAGAATAAATGAAGTTTCCTGAGATGTTTACATGCCTTTTCCCAGTTCTTTATTATTCCTCCCCCAGCCTCGTTTCTTGTCCCTAGCTTTGCTCTTCTTCTTCTTGGCTCCCTGTCGCTCTCCTGACCTAACCCTTCCCCCATTTTCCCCACCCCTCATGCCTCTGGCCTCGGTGGAGAGGAGGGACACTGGACTGCTCTGAGCCAGCAGGGAGGAAAGGGCTAGCAAGTAGGAGGGACAACAGGCAGAGTAGTAAGGGCTCCACAAATATTGTGGTTGAAAGATATAGGTGAGAAATGGAGAGGGCAGGGGTGAATCTGTTGAGGTAGGTCTGCATATTTTCTAAGGTTCTGTTGGGTGCAGGCCCTGGACAGTCCAAGAAAAAGGCTCAGAGAATGAAAACCAGAGCCTCTGACGCCATGTGCCTGAAGGCTGGGAGACAGGCACCCATACAGAATGAATCCCTTGTGCCCCACTGGGGTGGCTCAGTGGTTGAGCACTGACCTATAAACCAAGACGTCACGGTTTAGTTCCCTGTTAGAGCACATGCCCAGGATGCAGGCTTGATCCCCAGTAGGGTTCATACTAAAGGCAGCCCATCAGTGATTCTCTTTCATCATTGAGGTTTCTATCTCTCTCTCCCTCACCTTTCCTCTCTGAAATCAATTAAAAAAAAAAAAAGATAAAAAGAAAAAATCCCTCGTGCATGATGGTCTGGGCTGCTGCAGGGCCTAGTGGAGAGAGCACCCAGGGAGGGAGGAGAGTCAGGGGAAGCTCCTCAGTGCAGGGGAAGGTTATTGAATACCTATTATGTGCTCAACCTGATACTGGATGCTTTACAAGCACTATCTCAGTTAATCCCGACAAGCCCACGGAGGCAGGCATTATTATTATTTCCATTTTGCAGATGAGGAAATGGAGGAGAAACAATTGAGCAAGGTCACTCAGCAAATAAAGCAACAGCAAGAGCTAAAACTTATATAGACTTAATATGTGCCAAATTAAATTCAACATTCATTATTTAATCCTCACCACAGACTTCTGAAGTAGGTACCAATATTACTCTCATTTTATAGAAGAGGAAACTGAGGTTAAATAACTCAAGTTAACACAGGAAGCAGGTAGTAAACCTGGGATTAAAAAACAATCCCCCTGCCCCCATCCCCAGAAGCCAGTGCCTCCCAGATTAGCAGCTGAGTAATAAACCAGTTTGATTTAAAAGCTCTTTCTTCCATTGCATTTTAAGGAGGGGCCAGGTAGAGACATCCAGTGGGGGGTGAGGGGGGTGTGAAGGAGGATGGGTGGCTGGTGAGAGTCCCTGGGGAACAGCAGCAGTAAGAGGAGGGGGTACTAGTCAGGAGTACAGGAGGGAGGGTTCTGGCTTCTGTTCAAGGAGAGAGGCAGGGGTGGGTGGATGAGTTAATGCAGCCTGGTAGGTAGTGACCCAAGTGTGAATCATGCCGGTGGCAGGTGCAGGAGGCAGAGATGAGGTGAATGACTCCTACAGAGGAAGAAGGGAAGAGGCGGAAACCAGTAGACAAGGTAACCAAATGAGGCAAAATCAGACCAGGGATGCCCACTTGGCAGCTGGGTGGGGCCCGCAGAGAGGGAGGAAGGAGGAGGAGGTGCAGGATTCTGTGCTGCTTCGTAACTTCCAGGAAGGGGGATAAAGGCTAAAGACCTACCACTCTGAGCAAGGATGTTCTAAGAGTCCAAGGTAAAGGGTCAGCCACGGTGGCTCCATTCTTTCTGGCCAACACAGGAGAGGGTTTTGTTTACCCAAGAGACAGGGCCAGTCTTCCCATCAATGGAAAACAGAGAACATAATTTTTCATCCAATTCTTAGAAGGACTTACGCTTGACCTATGGGAGGATTCGAGGTTCTTAACAATGAAGGAGGCCATGGAATCTCCCAGCAGGAGGCAGGGCAGCAGGAATGAGGTGAAGAGGGGTTCAGTTCCCCAAAGGGAGAAGCTGCAGGGAGGGCGGGCAGGGATCTGAGCTGGGTCTTCCTGTCCCTACCTGGTGAAGAGACCTGCACTTTCTGCAGGACCCAGAAACCAGTCTGGGGTGGCAGGCCTACCAGGGACAGAAACCCAGACCCTTAAAGCCGAATGCTCCCACTGTCCTCTCAGTGATGCGCTCAGGAACCTCACTATCTCTGGGAAGCTGCTGTAAGAAAGTTCTTCCTCAGTTAAAGCTGCAGCTGACTTCATGATAGCAACTACCTTCTGGTCTTGGTCCTGTCTCTTTGAAGCAACCCTAGAGACATCGCCTCCTTTTTTACCCAGCAGTCATCAACTCCGGTGCCCCTAGGAGAGCAGAAACTGTGCTGCAGCTTGCAAAGTCCACTATTGCTTTCTTTTTGATCCTCGTAGCCAGCTTGTTAGGTGAGGAGGGAAATATCACCCTCGAGTCAGATGAGAAAAAGGAGGCTCTGAGATCACCTCGCTGCTAAGTGGAGGGGTCAGAATTGGAATCTGGTCTTAGGCCCCACTTTTGTTAAGACCAGAGTCACATGATAGATGCCTGGCAGGCAGTGCTCCTGTGCCTCCTTAGCGTTTTCTTCTCAATCGTAGCAATGGTAACAGAAATGATAATAAAAACAACAGCTGCAGTTGTACAGTACCTCCTCGGCCGGGTGTTTTGAGCTGTATTCTTCACGAGTTAGCTCATTTCATCCCATGCAGCAGTCCTATCAATACTCCCATGTGTGTAGATGGTGAAACAGAGGCACAGAGAATAAGTAACTTGTCCAAGGCTCACCGTCTAATGTGGCAAGGCAATGAGCCTGGTTAGAACGTAGCTCCTGTGTCTTTCCTCTGGATGGAATAGTTTCTAGAGCTCTCACTACCCTAGTCGTCTATCCTCTGAATAATCTTTGGTTTGTGAGCATCTATCACTCTTAAAATGTCACAGCCAGGCCTGCTTCCACATAGGATCTGAGAGCTTAGAACCAGTTCTGGACTGTCCCCAGGGGGCTCACAGGTGAGGAGATACTGTGAACACAGGGGTGCAGGCTGAGTTCATATAGGGGCCACAGTGGAGGGAGCATGTCTCCCAACCTGGGAGACAGGTTGGAGGGTGCTGAGATGTGGAGGAGAATGGAGCTCGGGAAGGGGCCAAAGAAAGGGAAGTGAAGACTTCTAGGTGATCCCTGGAGGAAGGGGGGAGTGGGCTAGGTCCCCAGATGCACATGGCAGGGGAGGAAGCTGGTGAGTTTTCGGTGCCCAGTCCTGTCTCGTACTTCCACAATGCTGACTGAGAGTGCTCAACTAGGGGCTGCCTGGTGGGCGGGTGTGTGGGATGAGGGTTTGGGCTAACCCCAAGGCTGCCTGTTGAGCATGAGGATCATGTGAGAGGAGATCATCCAGGGGGAAGAGGAAGGGAGGAGGAGAAACAGATAGGAAGAGAACAGGGTATCAGCCCCAAGTCTCCCAGTGTCCCTGACCCTGTCAGTATGTCCTGGTGGAGAAGAAGGGCTGGAGGAGAGATGGCCAGTTGCCAGGAAAGATTTTGCTGCCCAGTCTTAAGTGCTTCCAAGCCCCAAGGCAGAGTAGTAAAAACAGTTGGGGTCATGGAGTCCAAAAAAGCTGGGGTTATGTATTACTCCCTGGATGTGGGTCTTGGTGTCTCAATTGCACTTTCTATGTATTACTCCCTGGATGTGGGTCCTGGTGTCTCAATTGCACTTTCTAACTGTGTGATGTTGGTAAGGACACTACGTCCTAGCTGAGTGACCTTGGAAGAAATTGCCTGGTTGATGGACCTCAGGCCCCTCAAGTGTAAAATGGAGATAGTAATGCCTGCCTGATCGAACTGTGCAATGGTTTACACCCCCCTCCCCAGAGTAGAGCTGCCAGAGCAGGTGAGAATGAGGGTGGTGACCATGACCTGGGTAGGAGGTCAAGGTTAGAAGGGCTGGACTGTCTTGCTGAAGCCCTCTTGTCTGCATTCTACCTCCCTCAGCCCTGGTTACTTCTCACCTGGGTCCTTCTTCTTGCAGGACATGATCTGATGTAATCAGTGGTGTTTGCTCAGTGGGCAGATTTTTTTAGTGCTAGGTGTTAACTGAAAGGGAGGGAGAGTTTCTTTATTGAAGGGCTGATATGGGAACACTTCTTGCTGTCTCAAGCTAAATAAGGAGAGAGAAGTAGACGCTGGGGAGTGGTGGCATTCTGTACTGAGTCTGGGAGCCTTGTCACAGGTGGGAGTCGAGGGGCTGGTCAGCAAAGGCCTCTATGGAAGAGGCAGGAGGGAGGTGCGTATGAGGAGGACCACTGACTGGTGAGCCTGGCGTAGGCAGAGCATGGGCTCAATGGAGAAGAGAGATGATGCTGGAGAAGTGAGAGACAGCCTGGTGGTGATGAGAATGAGGGAGGTGCAGGAGGCCAGAGAGGAGCACAGGGGGACTTGAGACAGGTTGGGATGGGGGCCCAGGCAGGGATGTGAGGCTCATGTTAAGGAAATAACTCCAGCTAAGTTGGGGCACCTGGATTCTTGCAATGTGACTATAAGGAAGACATTTGGACTTCTGGGTCCGGCCTGGGTCTTGCTGGTATTTGATGGCCTCTTCACTTTGTGTCACTGATTATTTTCTCACTTAACCTCTGAAAGCTTCATATGTAGGCAGATTTAGTGTTAGGCCCATTTTACAGATGAGGAAAGAGGTTGGATTCAGAAAGTGTCCTTACCAACATCACACAGTTAGAAAGTGTGACTGGGACACCAGGACCCACATCCAGCCGACTAACTCTGGCTTCCTTCTGGGGCACCTTTACACCTTCCTAAAATAGCCAGAGCTAGTAAAGTGAAGGGCAGTGATGGTGAGAGCGCTTTCTGACCCACGTCCGCATTGTGTGACCTTGAACAAGTCACCTGCCTCAGGTTTTTCATCTGTAAAAGGGAATGGCGATAGTATTAGCTAACAGTGGCTAACAGTATGCTGCATTACCCCGAAGATTACATTAAATAATGCACATTCTAATACACAGTGCCTATCTTAATAAGTACTAGCTATTACAGCTATTCTTTTAATTACCAGTAACAAAAATCTCTCAGAATATCAAACACACACCTTTAACCTGAGCTACATTTTTTTTTCCTATAAAGGGATGAGGTTGCAGCTGGAGCTGCCAGAGGTCTTTATATTTCAGGAAGAGTTCTTCCTTAGATATTTATTCCCCAAATGTCTGTCTGCTTATCCCAAGGTCATGAAGAGTGTGTGTGTGTGTGTGTGTGTGTGTGTGTATATATATATATATATATATATATATATATATATATATATATATATTTTTTTTTTTCCTTCTTCTCTCTCTCTCTCCTAGAGTCTTTATGGTTCTGAATTTTATGCTTAGGTCTATAACTTAATTTTTGTGTATGGACTGAGGTAGAGGTTGAAGTTCATCTCCCCCCCACCCCCCGCCTGCCCCCGTACAGTATACAAATTGTTCCAGCACCAAATGTTTTTAAAAAAGTATTTTACTGCTTCATCTGGTGTGGCTCAGTTGGTTGAGCGTCATTCCACTCACCAAAAGGTCACTGGTTCCATTCCTGGACAGGGCACTTACCTAGGTTTTGGGTTCCATCCCAGGTCGGTGTGCGTGCAGGAGGCAACTGATCTATTGATGTTTCTGCCTCTGCCTCTCCCTTCCTCTCTCCCCAAAATCAATAAACACACACACACACACACACACAAATTTTCCCCATTGAGGACTTTATTCTGTTCCATTGATCTACTGTCTATCCTTACGTAAGTACTACACTATTTTGATTATTGTGGTTTTATAGTAAGTCTTAGAGTCAGGAAGAGTAAGTACTTCAATTCTGCTCTTCTTTTCTAAAATTTGTTTTGGCTTTCTGAATTCTTTCCATTTTCATGTAAGTCTTAGGACCAGCCTGTCAATTTCTTTAAAAAATATTTGTTGAAGTTTTTATAGGGATTGTGTTGAATCTAAAGATATATTTGGGAGACATCTTAACTCCATTGAGTTTCTGATCCATCAAAATATATAATTCCATTTTTATTTATTTTTTTTTTTGGTCTTTGCACCCAGTAGAATTTTTAGTGTAGAGGTTGGTCTTGCACATCTTTCATTAAATTTATTCCTAGTATTTGGTGTTGTTTAAGCTATTTAATATGGTGCTTTTATTATTTCATTTCCCAGTTTTTTGTTGCTAGTATGTAGAAATATGATCAATTTTTGTGTGTTGATGTTGTATCCTGCAACCTTGTTTAATCTATTAGATCTAGGTGTGTGTGCATGTGTGTGTTTTGTTTTGGAAGTTTCTATCCCTAAGGCCCTGCTGCTCTGTAGTTTCACGATAGAGATGGTAAGAGGACCAGTATTAGGAAGGAATGTGATTATTTATACTGCAATGTTTAACTTATGGAGTTTGGGCCCCACCCAAAACTCATTAAAATCTAACCCTGGTGGGGAGGGGCAGCTAGTGGGCAGCGTTGGTATTTTTTGAAGTTCCTCAGTAGAAGTGCAATTGAGAGCCCCTTGTTTAGAGGATGCCACCCTCCCCTGAAGGGATCCGGGTGGGATGAGAGACGGGCCCAGGTCAAGCCCACCCCCTTCTCTGTCTTGGGAAAGGGTACACAGTTCCGGGTTCTCTTCTAGGCCGCAGCGAGTGGGAGGACAGCGCCTCATCAACAGGCGCCGCCCGCCTCTCCCTTTCAATAAACAGGACACTGGCCGCCATAAATGCCGTCACCGCTGGGGCTCACCTTCGCCTCCGCTAACCCTGGCGGACACACCTGTCCACCCCCCTCTCGGCCCCGCCTCCTTGCAGTTTCAGACGAGGAAACTGAGGCCCAAAGGCCAGGCATTCGCGCGAAACCGCCCCCCCCCCCCCGCCCCTAGTCCGACCCTTTCCCCATCGCCCCTCCAGGTACACGCAAATCAAAGGGGAGCTGGAGGAGCTGGACCGCATCACGGCGAAGACGCTCTTCGACCTGTACAAATACAACTCCTTTAACACCCTCGGGGGCCATCCCCGCGGCCGCCGCGGCCTCCGGGAGGCCCTGCCGCACCCCCTGCAGCTCCTGGGGGACCCGGACTCGCCCCCCGCGGCTCGCAGAGCCCGCAGCGTGGCTTCCAGCATGCGGGACAACAACCCCCAGGTGAACTGGAAGGACTGGAAGATCGGGTTCAAGCTGGTAAGGCCCCGCACCCGGTCGCTGCAGGCCCCGCCCTTACGTCATCAGACCCCACCCACACCGTCAACAGGCCCCGCCCCGTCATGCGCAGCCCAGGCCCTTCCGGTTCCGCCCACGCCCTGGACCGCGCGCCCTTTCCCAACCCTCATCTGTTGGCGTGTGACGAGGTGGTGATTGATGTCAGCTTGATGTCAAAAGGAACACGTTTTGAGAAAATAAAACGAAATGACATCTCTCTGAGCGCCAGCTCGTGGGGGTTTCTCCTCTCTGGGGGCTTCTGTGGGAGCGTTTAGGTGGGCGGAAGTCAAATCTGCTATGGAAAATGCCCCTTTCTGAAATACAGGTCCCACCCGTGGGACTTATTTGGGTACCTCCAGTGAGATAGGGAACCGGGGTATTGCAGGTCTCAGGCAGAGAATACGGAGACAGTGAAAACGCAGACTTAGTATTTGTTTTAATAAAAAAAATTAAAAATGCATCATCCTGAATGCTCCCAGATCTCTTCTCTACAAAAGAAAAGAAAAAGAAGAGAGAGAGAGAGAAAAAAAAAGAGAGAGAGAGAGAGAGAGAGGAAGTGGGAGAGCAGCTGGGGTAGGAAGGAGAAGCCTCCTTTAATCATAGCTAGCTAGGCCTAGCTCTATTGCTGGGACAAACCTGTTGATCCCTCAGCCTTCCCATCAGTGAAATGGGGAGAAGTCCTTGCAGAGACTATAAATGCTAGCTCCTGGTCTCCTCGGCCTCCCACTCCCTTAATCCCATGCCCTCTGGTCCACTCTTTTCCGGGCTTCTGCTGTTCTGGTCTACACCTGGCTCCCCACTCTGGTCTGTCAGTCCTCAGGACCCCAGGCCATTCAGTCCTTGACCTTGGCCCTGCCTTGCTGTCTGACCCCTGCTACTGGCCCTCTGAAGCTCTGGTCTCTGTTTCCAGTGTAACCAGAACAAATCCGACTGCTTCTACCAGACATACTCATCAGGGGTGGATGCGGTGAGGGAGTGGTATCGCTTCCACTACATCAACATTCTGTCGAGACTGCCAGACTCCTTTACGTCCCTGGAGGAGGACAAGCTGGGCAACTTCATCTTCAGCTGTCGCTTCAACCAGGCCTCCTGCAGCCAGGCGTGAGTCTGTCTTGCCTGCCTCTGTGTTACCCACCCACCATGTCTCCCTCCCAGAGCCAGCCTGAGGCCCAGCATGAGTGGCACCAGGAAATGCTTGTTGACTAAATAAATGCCTGTAAAGAGGAGGAGATGCATTGATTTCAGGTCCAAACCTCTGTCCCAGGATCATTCTGCAGGACTTCTGCTACTCCCTGCAGGGCTGGGTCTGAGTGAGGTAGCCTCAGATAGCTGCCTTGGGAAGGTTGGGGTTGAGGTCCAGCTTTGAGAAACCAAGGGTGGGAGGCATGGTTCCCTGTCTGTCTAAGGCCTTTTTCTCACTAGCATCAAACTCAAAAGTGCCCAGAAGGTTGTCTGGTTCCATCCCCCACTTTCTCAGTTGAGATGGGCAGTAGTGTGGTGGACAGAGCATGGATTGAGTGAGGGGTTAAACCTGAGTTTCCGCTTTGACTCTGTTACTTCCTGACCAGGTGACTCTGGGCATTTCAAATCACTCTTCAGAACTTGTTTCTTTGTTTGTAAAATGGGCTGAAAATTAGATTTATTCAATGTTCATGCAACAAATAGTTTTGACGATCTAAGCTATGTGTCAGTCACTGGTCTAGGCATTTGGGACGCATCAAAGAAGAAAATATATATATAATCCTCGCCCTTTTGGCATGTTTACTCCAGTGATGAAGATGGTGATAACATACATCTCCAAGTGCATGAGATGTCAAATTCTAGGGAACTTAATAAACTACAATGAATGTTGGGTCTTATTACTCTGTACTCAAGCAGGAGAAGGGACTTGCCCTAGGCCACCAGGCCATCCCTAGTTCAGGGATTCTTTTCCCCAGGGATTCTTTCTGTTAAGATTCCTGTCATAATGACCTTATAAAGAGGTCATGGCAGCTGCTTGCTCTCTGAGGGCTGGGAGAGGCAAGGAGAAAGGGAAGTTTCCTTCTGTAGTCCTGGCTCCTCCTACCCCCCACTTTTCCCTCCCTGATTCGGATCTTAATTTTCAGGTGCCATCATCTCCTTGCCTCTGCCTGCCTGAGGAAGGGTGTTGACGCAGCCTCTCCACTCTACAGGGAGCCCTTCTCTGTCATGTCGCTGCTGAGTGGCAGCAGGGCCAGGTGTCACCTGCTTCTGCCTCCACCCCTCACCTGGCACACACACTCTGCCCAGCACACGATTTTGTTCCTGCCTCTAGTCTTGTGTTTGTTTGAGGACAGGAGCTACCAGCTGGGAAGTGAGACAGTAGCAGCACCTGAGTCTGGGTAGCTCACAACTGCCACCCAGTCTCTCTGTCTGTCACCTTCCCACTGATCCTTTCACTCTGCCTGTCCTATGCTCCTACCTGCCTATCAATGGAAAGACCAAAGTTCATCTCAGTCCTGATGCTTAGGTCACTTTCTTAGCTCAGAGCCTCATTATTTCTCACCTAGGTTATTATTACCACCATCACCACCCCCTCCCAATTTGTCTTTCTGCCTCTATATCCTCTCTTCATTCTGTAGTCACCGGAAGCTTTATACCTCACTGTTCTTACTTCAATTCACTGTACTTAACTGTACCAGTTAGTGCTGTTTGGTTTCCTTCAACATCTCTCATGGCCTTCAGAATCAATTGAAGCTCTTTATCATGTTCTCACCCAACTCTTCTTCTCGACGTCAGGCACACTTTCCCCTTCTCTCAATATTTTTTTCTTTATATATATATTTTTTATTGATTTCAGAGGGGAAGGGAGACAGAGAGATAGATAGAAACATCAATGCTGAGAGAGAATCATTGATCAGCTGCCTCCTGCATGCCCTCCATTGGGGATTGAGTCCATAACCCAGGCATGTGTCCTTGACTGAATGGAACCCTGAGACCCTTCACTCCGAAGGCTGATGCTCTACCCACTGAGCCAACTGGCCAGGGCCATTACCACTAATTTTAGAACATCTTCACCCCAAAAAGAAACCCTGTACTTATTAGCAGTAATTCCCTATTCCCGCCTCTTCTCTAAGCCCTGGAAACCACTAGTCTGCTTTCTGTGTGTATAGATTTTCCTACTGTAGATATGTCATTTAAATGTATCATACATGTGTTCTTTTGTATCTGGCTTCTTTCACTTAGCAAAAAGTCTTCAAGGTTCATCCATGTTGCAGCATGTATCAGTACTTAATTCCTTTCTGTAGCTGAATAATATTCCATTGTATGAATATACCACATTTTGTTTATTCCTTTTTAAAAAAATATATATTTTTATTGATTTTTTATAGAGAGGAAGGGCGAGGGATAGATAGCTAGAAACGTCGATGAGAGAGAAACACCGACCAGCTGCCTCCTGCACCCCCCCCCACTGGAGATTGCCTGCAACCAACGTGCATGCCCCCGACCGGAATTGAACCCGGGACCCCTCAGTCCGCAGACTGATGCTCTACCACTGAGTCAAACCGGTTTCGGCTGTTTATTCCTTAACTGATGGACTTTTTGTCCCTCCCACCCCCACTTTCTGGCTATTATAAATAATGCTGCTATGAACATTCATGTATAGGTTTTTGTATGGATATGTTTTTATTTCTTTTAGGTATATATGTAGGAGTGGGATTGCTGGGTCAAATGGTAATTCTATGTTTAACATTTTGAGGAACTGCCAGACTGTTGTGCAAGTGGTGGTGCCATTTTACATTCCCACCAGCAATATATGAGAGTTCTAAATTCTTCACATCCTCCATTTTGTTATTGTCTGTCTTCTGTTTTTTGTTTTTGTTTTTTAGTTTTTTTTTTTTTAAATCGATTTAAAGGGAAGGGAAAGGGGATGAGGGGAGAGAGAGAGAGGGAGAGGGAGAGGGAGAGGGAGAGGGAGAGGGAGAGGGAGGGAGAAATTTGTTGTTCCACTTATTATGAAGGCACTTGTTGATTCTTGTATATGTCCTGACTGGGGATCAAATGACAATCTAACCAACTGAGCTACCTGGCCAGGGCTGACTTTCACCATTTTAATAAATCCCTATAATGCTAATAGTAAACTTATATAGCTCTTCCTAAGTGCTAAGCACTGTTCTGAGAGTAATTTAATCCTCTTAACACCCCTGTGAAGTAAGTAATATTCCATTTTACAGATAAGAAACAGAGAGATAAAGTGATTTTTGTTGTTCCCACAGCTAATACTTGTTAGAGCTATGATTCAAATATAAGTCATTTAGTTCTGGAGTCTGTGCTCTTCATGTTATGCTGCTTCTCATATATTCTTACAATGTATTAGTGTGTATCTTTTTGTATCTGTTTTTGTACAATGTGTATGTAACATAAATGGTGTGTTGTAGATCTCATTTAACCTCTTACTATTTTTCTCTTTTTACTAAGCTCTCATTTTAAGATCTATCCATGTTGCTCCATCTGCTTTGTTACCTGCTGCATAGAGTCCCTAGTGTGCATCCACCACATGGCACCTGTCCCCTCTACCATTGAGCAAGGCTCATAGGCCCTTCAACGCTGGCCTCTGCTCTCTTTCATAGTTTCATCTTCTGTCCCTCCCTGAATCCACTCTTTGCTCTGGAAATGTTGACTTTCTAGTGCTTCCCAGAATGTGCACCAATATTTCATTCTTCAAGGCCAATGGGATATTCCAGATCACCTTGTTCCAATCTCCTTATTTTACAACTAGAGGCCCAATGCATGAAATCTGTGCAAGAGTAGGCCTTCCTTCCCCTGGCTGCCAACACCGGCTTCCCTCTGGCACCGGGACCAGGGCTTTCCTTGTAGCCCCAGCTTCATCTGGAAGGACATCTGGTATAATTAGCATATTATGCTTTTATTATTATAAACTAGAGGCCCAGTGCATGAAATTCTTGCACAGGGTTGGAGGGTTGAAGGGGGAAGGTGTCCCTCAGCCCAGCCTAAACCCTCTTGTAATATGGGACCCCTTGGGGGACATCCCCCTCACAAGTTGGAACCACTGGCTCCTAACTGCCTGCCTGATCACTCCTAACCACCTTTGCCTGCCTGCTTGATCGCCCCTAACCACCTTTGACTGCCTGCCTGATCGCCCCTAACCACCTTTGCCTGCCTGCCTAATTGCCCCTAACCACTCACCTGCCTGCCTGATCACCCCTAACCCCCTCTGCCTTGGCCCCTGTCACCATGGATTAGTCTGGAAGGATGTCCAGAATGTCATCCAGAAGGTCGTTTGACTGTCCGGTCTAATTAGCATATTACACTTTTATTATTATAGATGAGAAGAATAAGCTTAGAAAAAATGACCTGCTCAGAGCCATGCAACCAGAACCCTACTCATTTTTGCCTTGGGATCTGATCTTCCTCTTCTCAACTCCATGCTCAATAATGGCCTTACTCTCTGCTGTTCCCTTCCCTTCCATTTCATTCATTCATTTATTAATTATTTACTATCTCCTATATGCCAAGAACTATGTAGTTAACCCAGAGATGATACAGAAATTATTGGGATCTGGCTTCAGTCCTTAAGGAGATCAGAATCCAGACGGTGAACTAAGATTTAGACATGCGAGAAGCTAGGGACTCTGCAAGAGTCTCCAAATGCAACAGAGTGACCTCAAGAGAGGTCACAAAACCAGGCAGGTCAGGTGGCCTGCTGGGAGAAATCTGGGCTAGAAGGTAAATGACCTGGTTTGAGTCCCAAGTTTGTCATCACTGTTTGTGCCCCATCTTCTTCCTCTTTTGTGCTGTGGAGATGATGCCCTTGCAGGCTATTGGCACATAGTAGATGACCAGGAAACAAAAGGCGCTGAAAGTCCTCCATCCTGGTCCCTTTTCTCTGTGATCCTACTCTCTCTCCCTTCTGAATAGGAATTACTCTCACTTTCACCACCCGATATATGGAAACTGCTACACGTTCAATGGCGAGAACAACTCCAACCTCTGGATGTCTTCTATGCCTGGGGTCAACAATGGTGAGCAACACCCCATACTCTCAGTCCCTGACCTCTGCCTCAGCCCTTGCTGCTTCCCTGCTCACCCACGTTTACCCACCTTGAGCTCCATCCTAGAGATGCCGTGAGCCTCTGGGCATTGCCATAATGTGCCTATCTCAGTCCTGGAAGGAGTTTTCCCTGTTCTTTCTCCACTATGGGTACCATGTTGTCCATTCCAGGTGTGATAGGAACCCTGACCCAGTCCTTCCAGCCCGCCCCCAGAATCCAGCTCAGGGGTTGTTGCCACATCCATTTGTAGGTCTCCCTGCTTTGCTCTCCTTGGAGCATTAGGAACTGGGCAGGGTGGGAGGGTGTTTTCCATCCCTTAATGCTTTTCCAAGATCTTCTCCCAACTCTGCTTCCTCTGCACACGCCAGGTCTATCCCTGACACTGCGCACAGAGCAGAATGACTTCATCCCGCTGCTGTCCACAGTGACCGGGGCCAGGGTCACGGTGCACGGGCAGGATGAGCCTGCCTTCATGGATGATGGTGGCTTTAACTTGCGACCTGGTGTGGAGACCTCCATCAGCATGAGGAAGGCAAGAGTGCTGCCTGGGAAGCCTGGGAGGAGAGCCCTAGACAGGCGAGGGGCAAGGGAGAGGGCATGGGAGGTGGACTCGACAGCCAGAGGCTGAGGAGGGGGATCATGCAGGCTGGGCCTTGAGCATGTGGAGGTCTACAGGAGCAGAAACCAGGGTCGAGGGGCTGGGAGAGTGGACACCAGGAAGAAGGGACCAGAGGAGTGGGCCTTGGATGAGAGTGCTGAGAAGGGATTCAGAACATGCTTAGGAGTCCCGGGGAATCTGTGGGCCTGGTGTCCTTGAAAGTGGCCCTGAGATGGATGTTGGGCCACTGGGAGCATGTTTTGAAATGGGGAGGCAGACAGGTGAGGCTGGCAGGATGGGAGATGCAACCTAAGACTGAGGGAAGACAGAGGGTTCAGGAGGAGGCCTGGGCCACGTGCTCTGCTCTGTGACCTCTGACATCTTAGTGTGTGTGTGTACTCACAGGAAGCCCTGGACAGACTTGGGGGCAACTATGGAGACTGTACATATAATGGCAGTGATGTCCCTGTCAAGAACCTTTACCATTCCAAGTACACACAGCAGGTGAGGCCAGTCTGTGGCAACTATCTTTCAGGCCTGCACTATTGGTCAGTCAAAATGGAAAGATGTGTGTGTGTGTGTGTGTGTGTGTGTATGTGTATGTGTGTGTAAACAGTGGATGAGGGATAGATGTGCAGCACAGAGAATTGTTTGTCCTTCCCTTTCTCTGTCTCTTATGGGCTGTTTGTGGGTGAGAGCAGGCCTGACCTCCCTCCTCACTCTCCTCCCTGTAGGTGTGTATTCACTCTTGCTTCCAGGAGAGCATGGTCAAGGAGTGTGGCTGTGCCTACATCTTCTATCCACGGCCCGAGCATGTGGAGTACTGTGACTACAAGAAGCATGATTCCTGGGGTGAGAGTCCAAGAGGGAGCCCCTGGGCTGCCCATTGACCAGGCCTTTCCTGGGAGCCCTCTCCTCTCAGCACCCTCTGTCTGTGGGGCTGCTTCTGCCTCTCACTGTCCCTGATGAATTCTCCCTGTCTCTTGTTTTCCAGTCCTTCGACTGGCCTCTCTCAGTTTTCTGTGCACTATCTCTGTCCCTCCCTCACAGTTTCTCCCCTTCTATTTTGGCTTCTGTGTGTTTATAAAAGAACTAGAGGCCCAGTGCACGAAATTCATGCAAGGGGCTTGGCCCTCACAGCAGCCCCAGCTGCCTCGAGGCCCCACCCCCCTCACTCTGGTCATTCTGGGAGGTCGTTCTTAAAGGTCCACCTGGAAGATTGTTCTGCTGTCTGGTCTAATTAGCATGTTAGCTCTTTATTATATAGGATGGCTCTATTTAAAAATAACTTGCAACGTAAGGTAGGAAGAATGTGAGAGAAAATCTCCCCGTTCCCTCCGGGGCCTGCTGAGGTTTCTGTGCACACTCTGCCCATAGCTTCCTTGTCTCACTCAAGGCTCCAGGCCAGGCACTGGGATGACTCACTGGGTGCAGGGAGAAAATACCAGAAGTTAAATGTATCTCTATTATTTATTTATTTATTTATTTATTTTATATTTTATTGATTTTACACAGAGAGGAATTGAGAGGGACAGAGAGTTAGAAACGTCGATGAGAGAGAAACATGGACCAGCCGCCTCTTGCACACCCCCCTCAGGGAATGTGCCCGCAACCAAGGTACATGCCCTTGACCAGAATCGAACCCGGGACCTTTCAGTTCGCAGGCCGACGCTCTATCCACTGAGCCAAACCGGTCCCGGCCTCTATCATTTATTACACATTCCATTTTGTGTATGTTTTATAATGTGCATAATGTATCAATTCAATAGTAGCAGGTGTGTGCTTTATAAACCAAATGCATATACTGGAGTTGCTTATTTAAGAAGTTTTTACCTACGGGAGAGCATAATCAAAGAAGTTTTGAGAGTCCTGGCATCTCCTCCTCATCCTGGTCTGGGAGTAGACAGATCCCCTTTTCTTTTCACACAGCTGGGCTACTCAGCAGGGAAGCTGTATACTGGGTAGCTGAGAGAGAGAAAACCCTAAACAGGAAACCATGGAAACAGAGGGTTGGCTTTCCTGGTGCACATGCTCTTATCTGTCCCAGCTGGCTGGTCCTCCAGGGTCTCCTTCTCCCCAGTTCCACTGGGACCAGCTCTCCCCCTGTGTGATGGACGACACACACCTTCACACCTCTCAGGATGAGTCAGGGACCCTGCAGACCCCGGAGTTCCGTGTCTGCCTGTCTCGGCTCTGTCTGGGTGATCTTTCGGCCTCCTTCCTTCCCTGGGTCTGCTCCACTCAGCTCTCTCCCCTGCTGGACTTTGTAATGGTGGCCTCACTTCCCGTGTCTCTGACCTTAGGAAAATCATAGTGCAGCCAAGCAGGAGTGTATCCTCCTGGCCTCACCTTCTCTTTAAGCAAGCTGAGACCCTGAGGGGAGACATGGCTCCCTGCCCACTGCTCCCCTCGGCCCCCAAACAGTGATTTCTAAGTGTTTGTGAGTTTGAAGAAGATCTGTGGGAGAAAAATAACAATACCGATTGCTGAGAAGCTGTGAGAATGAGGGAAAGGAACTAGGTTAAAAATTCAGATTGTTGCGTTTCCTAAGGACTGCTCACTCCCCAGAGAAAAGGGCCCCACTGTTTCTCAGACTTCCTAATAAAGATCCCCAGTCCTGGTAGACTGAGACATTTGGGTCAGAAATGAAGGAGAACTGGGTGACTAAAAGTAGAAAGAAGGACAAAATAACCTTATTTAGACTTTGGCAAATGGGGGAGAAAGGGAATCTATAGACCTACTATTGGGGTCGTGGGAGGCGTTATGTTGGGGGGATGGTGCGTGGAGGGCGGTTGTGGTGTGGGAATTGCTGTGGGTAGGGTAGGGATTCTTCGCCTGTTTCGGACGTAGGAATCTTCAGCTCCCTTACCTCTTCCTTCCCTCCCTTCCACTAACCCTCCATCCCCCAACCCCCCTCCCCCCTCCCTCCCTCTCCTCTCTCCCCTCCACACCTCCATCCCTCCCTCCCTCCCCCCTCCCTCCCTCCTTTTTTTCCATTCCCCCCTCCCCCTCCCTCCCTCCCCCCTCCTTCCCTCCTTCCTTCCTTCCTTCCTTCCTTCCTTCCTTCCTTCCTTCCTTCCTTCCTTCCTTCCTTCCTTCCTTCCTTTTTCTTCCTTTCTCTCCCGCCCTCTTGTAACAGCTTTTTGAGATAATTCAACCAATTTAAAGTGTACAATTCAATTTTAAGATAGTTTTAGATTTTAGTATAGTCACAGAGTTGTGCAACAATGGCCACAGCCATTTTTATCACGCCAGAAAGAAACTTTGTACCCATAGCACTCTTCCAGTTCCCCATTCCCTGTGCCCATAGTGCCCTTCTCCCTCCCCACCTGCTACACCCTTGGCAAGCACTAGTCTGCTTTCTGTCTCTAGATGTGCCTCTTCTCTACATTTCATATATGTAGGATCATATAACATATGGTCCTTTGTGACCGGGATATTTTCAAGATTCGTCCACCTTGTAGCATGTGCAAGAATGTCTTTCCTCTTTATAGCTGAATAATGTCCCATTGTATGGACAAACCACATTTGTTTTATTCATTAATCAGTTTATGGGCATTTGTGTGTTTTTTGTACTTTTTATTTTTTACTATTGTGATTTTGAACATCTTGTAGAAGTTTTTGTGTGAACATATGTTTTGAAGACTCTTGGGTATATACCTAGGAGTGGAATTTCTGAGTCAGAGCCTAACTGTATGTTTAAAATTCTGCCAGACTGTTTTGCAAAGTGGCCACACCATTTTACATGCTCAACAGCAATGTAGGAGGTTCCAGTTTCTCTACAGTAACACTTGCTATTGTCTTTTTTAAATTGATTGGGGTGACATTGGTCTTTTGTTCAATTATAGCCATTCTAGTGGGTATGAAGTGATACCTCATTGTGGTTTCATCTCATTATTTGACACAATTGTTCCCACTCTTCTTTCTGACTTTCTAATTTTTGTTCAAATCCTACACATCTTTACATAGGTGTAATGCGCTCCCCGCTCTCCCCCTCCCCCCCTTCAGCACACAAGTTAGCTTAATTTCTTAAACTATTTTTGGTGCAGCCACTCAGGAGACATCACTGTAATCTGATACTCTTGTGAAGGGGGTGCTCTGGGATCTTTAGAGGCCTCTTGGGTGTGGGAAAGAGAAGGCTGAGGTGTCCACTCTGCACCCACAGGCTACTGCTACTATAAGCTCCAGGGTGCCTTCGCCTCAGATCGTCTGGGCTGTTTCACCAAGTGCCTGAAGCCATGCAGGTGAGTGTGCCCTTCGCCTGGGCACAGGTTGGGCAGCGGGCTGCTTGACTGGGTGGAATATAGGTATTCAGCTAAGCCTTTGAGTGGGAGGGCCCCACTCCCATTACTGAGTGCCTCTCTCCATTCCCAGTGTGACCAGTTACAAGCTCTCTGCAGGTTACTCTCGATGGCCCTCCGTGACATCCCAGGTAAAGTGGGGAAGGGGAAGGACAGGGACATGTGTATGACACTGTGGTCTTCTCTGGGTATATGTATAGTAAGCCTGAAGAATATGGGTGGTCCCTTGACACTCCAATTCTTTCCCAGGACTGGGTCTTCCGGATGTTATCCCTACAGAATAATTACACCATCAAAAACAAAAGGTCAGTCCTACCCTGGTCCCAGCCCCAAGAAAAGAATCCTTGGGAGGGAAATCAAATCTGGAAAGAAGGAATGATACAGTTGATTGGAGGAGGGTGTTTGTGAGGTTCTGAGAAGTTAATCCTCTGCCATTTCTTCCCATCCTCTCCCCTACTCCACAGAAATGGAGTTGCCAAACTCAATGTCTTCTTCAAGGAGCTGAACTACAAAACCAATTCTGAGTCTCCCTCCGTCACGGTACGTCCTGCTTCACTGAGCCTGTGATTTTCTGGGGGGTCAGGGAAAACAAGGGATTGCCTTTGTTGGGCCAGAGTGTCTGGGCCTTGAAGGTAGGGGCCCAAGGAGAGGGGTGAGTGGTGAGGGTGAGGTTGAGAGGGTTGGAAGAAGGGGGACTTGGCTGGGGGATGAAGCCTCTTGGGGTAGTGAGAGGGAAGGGTGTGCCAGGTGGGTATGACTTGGAAAGAAGAGGTTCAGGGGGCCTCTGAGAGGCTGAGAGGGGTGGCTGAGGACCTCAGTTAAGGAGGGATGGGACACTTCTGCTGGAGCCCACCCTGGGCCCTCTGTCCCAGTGATCAGTGTGCCTTTCGCCCTCACAGATGGTCACCCTCCTGTCCAACCTGGGCAGCCAGTGGAGCCTGTGGTTCGGCTCCTCGGTGTTGTCTGTGGTGGAGATGGCGGAGCTCATCTTTGACCTCATGGTCATTACATTCCTCATGCTGCTGCGGAGGTTCAGAAGCCGATACTGGTCTCCAGGCCGAGGGGGCAGAGGTGCCCAGGAGGTGGCCTCCACTCCAGCTTCCTCCCTCCCTTCCAGTGTTTGCCCCCAGCTCCCCTCCTCAGCCTCATCCCTGGCAACCCCTGATACTTCCCCAACCTTGACTGCCCCTCCACCGGCCTATGCCACCCTGGCCGCCTGCCCAGCTCCCTCCAGCTTGGCAGGGGCCAACTCCTCTGTCTTCACTCTGGAGGAGCCCTGAGAGGAAACCTGAGAAGAAAGGAGAGTGTCAGCCCCCAAGGCAAGCAGCTTCCCTTGGTGGGTGGGGACAAACCTTGGCAGGATTAAAGAATGTTTTGGGCTTGTTCTCAGCTGCCCCAACTGTCTTTGGTGTGGAGGAGGAAAGCAGCATGAACGAGGGGCTACAAAAATTGCTTGGAAAACAGGGGCCATAGAAGCTGCCCAGAATTGCCCCTGGCTCCTGCCCAGTACCCCCTGGTCCTGCCTCTAGAACACTCTGGCTTCCTCATGCAAGTGGAGAGAAATCTCCTTTTCCCTTGGATCAACCCAGTCAGACTTGGAGCTTTTACAAGGAACGTTCCTAGGAAACAAACGACGACAAGAGCAAAACAAGGGCAAACAAAGGCATGCCCAGGTTTTCTACCCAAGGATGACTGAAGCCAGCTCCGGACTGGCCCGGCCACACTGCTTTCCAGTGACACGGACATTTGCTCCTCTTCTTGAAGTCGAGTGGGGAACCCCACCCAAAAGCCCCCTTAGTTAGTTCTTGGGCAAGCTCCCTCCCATGACTCCCCAGAGTAGGGGCTGGAGCAGACCAGTGTAGTAAAGGCTTGGCGTTTCCAGTTGGACCCAGGACTCTTCCAGCCTCATCTACCCCCTACCCACCCCTTCTCACTCCCCAGCCCATCCTAGCACTCTGCCTGTATCCTTCACACCTCTGCAAGTCATCTCAAACTATTTCCTAAACCTGGAAGCTTTCCCCACCATTGGCTGGAGAACTTCTATGTATTCCTTAGAACCTTACGCAGACACAACTACTTCTATGAAGGCTTCTGCCCCATCTTGTCTTCCCCAGAATTGATCACTCCCCTTTTTCCTGGACTTCCATAGTGCACCATAACGTTGGTTGGAATACTGATTTTGCATTTTTCCTGTTCATTTGTATCTGCTTCCCCAACTAGACTGTGAGCTCCTTGTGGTCTGGGACTGTTGTTCATTTATGTAACCTCAGGGTCTATCCCAGTGTCCGACTTGGAGCAAGTAGGCAGGCACTCAATAAATATTTGTTGCAAAAAAAAATGTCTGGAGAGTTGAACAGGGTGCCCTGAGGGGGTGGGGAGTGGATCTGAGTCCCTAGGTCTCTGCTCAAGCTCCTAGGAGGTCCTGGGGTGGGGATGAGGGAGACAGACTCCTACCCCTCAGCTTTACTACGGAAATGACCATTCTTCCGGGGCCTCAGGAGTGACAAGCTGTCCTGCTAGTTCTTCCATGGACATGTGCATCTGTTATGTGCCCATCACCATGTTAGGATGGGAGGGCGAAGATGTGGGCATTCTCCTCAGACCTACTAGGCAGTGCTTAGGATAATTCCCCCACCTCTCCCACCTCCCCCACCGCCCCTCCCCCATACTTCTCACCTCCCCTACCTCCCCCACCCCCATATTCCCACACCTTCCCCACCTCCCTTACTCCCCCACCTCCCCCACCTATTACTCCGTCATCCGTCCATTGTCCATTGTCTGAACTTACTTTTCCTCCCAACTTTAGTCACCATCATCAGTAATCTTTCACTCCATTTGCTGAGCACCCACCACTCACCAGCCAACATCCTTATCTGCTCCCTCCCCATCAACTGCACAGTTGTGGTGGAGGAGGATGAGACTCAGGCCACATTCTTCTGGACCCTCAGAGCCTGTGTATTCTCATTCTTGTATCACCCTAGACTCTAGGACCTAGAGTGAGAGCAGTGGGAATCCTCCCAGGTTATTTCTTAAAACTGTGTTGTTATTGTTATTTTTAATTGATTTCAGAGAGAGGAAAGGAGAGGGAGAGAGAGATAGAAACATCAAAGATGAGAGAGAATCATTCATCAACTGCCTCCTGCAGGCCCTCAACTGGGGATCGAGCCCATATCCTGGGCATGTGCCCTGACTGGGAATCAAACCGGGACCTCCGGGTTCATGGGTCAATGCTCAACCACTGAATCACACCAGCCAGGCCCTTCCAGGTTTTAATAGAGGAGAGACAGGGATGTCTGAGTGGAGCCCGGGTTTTCAAGCCCCTGGTTCCTCCCCACCACTGCAGCATGACACTTGGAACCTAGAAGTTATCCTTCTTTGTCACTTTGTGGACCTTTTCCTAACTGCCCTGGTCTTACTCCCCTCAATTACAGTCTCCCTGTCCTGAAGAGCCAAGTGAATCTTAGGGAAAGAGGCAGAGATGGTGAAGGGAGTGGAGAGATGGATAAGGTTGTGACCAGGAACTGATGCGGTGCTTTCCGACTTCCCTTTCCTAGACTCAAGTTGATGAGAAGGAAATGGTGGTGTTACAACAGTCTCTTCCGTCAGAGCCCTCAGGTTCAGTTCGCCCTTGTGTGCTCTCTGCCACAGCGCAGCCTTACCCCTTCTGTCTCCAGCAGCCTGTCCCCAGCTGACCTGTTACAGATAATGGTAATTAGCTCCTCCCCACCTGTTGTTGTCTTGGCCTGCGGAGTTTTCACTCTGTGGGGTTTCCTTCTCTCCATCTCCTATCTATATGCTGCCCCTGGACCTTAGGGTTAGGGGTTAGAATCTGAGTATTAAGGAGGATCTAGTTAAGTTACCTTTTCCTTATTGAGGTTATTAGGTGACATGACTTGCTAAAGTTCATGATTCTTATAGAACCAGCCTGGAACCTGAGTCTCCTTCTATGACCCGCAGAGTCAGAATGGCAGGGCTGCGGCTGCAGCCCACGTCATCCTCACCTGGAGTCCAGTGCCCTTTGGATCACTCTGTACTGCTGTAGAGTGTGTGCATGTGTGTGTGCATGTGTATGTGTGTGTGTGTGTGTGTGTGTGTGTGTGTGTGTGTGAGAGAGAGAGAGAGAGAGAGAGAGAGAGAGAGAGAGAGAGAGAGATGGATGATGGAGGCAGAAGGACTCTGCCATCTGAAGCTCTCTATCCTTTGCTCCATAGTCCCTAACAACCAATTCTGTCATCCCCTAATTTGCTCCTCTTCTATCTCTCCATCTATCCCATTCTCTCTCTCACCATTATTCCTTCTTCTTTCCCTGGAAGAAATTTCTCCATGAAATTAGTTAGCTTTTTATATTCCTTGGTCTATCTACCTCTCACCATGTTTTTAAAAACAATTTTATTGAGTCCTCACAAGTTTGCTCAGTAGTTAGAGCATCAATCCTTGGACCAAAGGGTCGTGGGTTAAATTCTGGGTCAAGGGCACATACCTGGGTGGCAGGTTGATCCCAGCCCTGGTTGGGGCAGGTACAGGAGGCAACCAATCAATGTGTCTCTTCCATATTGATGTTTCTCTCTCTCCTTCCCTTCCACTCCCTGGGATTAAAAAAAATAAAATAAAACAATTTAATCAAATAATTTAATACCACATTTCTCAAAACTTTAAACTTATTGAGCAAATCAGCATTTATCCTGAACAATGATAATCTCTTTTTGTACCCAGTATGTGTAATGGCTTAAACAGTTGGCACAAACTATTAAAATTCCTTGTAACGTTAAAACTAGGACATTGAAGTCATTATTAATTATTAACACAAACGGTTAATATTGCTACCGCTTATTGAGTCCTTGGTCTCCAGCAAACACTTTACATGCATTTATAATACTTATCAGTGCCTATGACGTGAGGATACTGGGGTGTTCCCCGTTTTGTAGATGAGGAACCTGTGGCCCTTCTTGCTTCTTCACAGTGAAACTGGGTCTTCTGACTCTTGCACTTGATTCCAATGACCCTGCTTTGAGAGCCCTGCTTCCGGTCCACTGTTACTATTCTTGGAGGCTCCCTGTGTATTGGTAAAAGTGAGCTCCTCTGAGTCCAGCTTCAACTCTCCAGTTCTTCAGAGGCTGGGGGGTGGGGTGGAGTGAAGTCAGCCCAAGGTGGGGACATCCAAGCTCCATTCTCACCTATGGATGCTCTGCCCTTAGGATCAGAGAGGGGAGGCCAGGAAAAGCCAGGCAGGGTGGACTGGGTAGGGGTCTGAGCTGCTGGATCAAGGGGAGAAGGAACCAGGAGCTCTGATTCCAAGTCACAAAGCCCTGGGACCTCACTCCTCTGGTCTGCCTGCATTTCTAGCAAACTGAGCCGCCAGAGGACCACAAGCCTGGGCTGGGTGGAGGGAAGGTCATTTTGCTCGGAGAACATGTGAGTGAGCATGGTACCCTTGTTTGATTCCTTTTGGAGATGTCCTGCACGAAGTGGGGTGACATAAAACACCCAGAGTCAGGGAGTGGGGTCTGAATCACAGTGACAGACAGGAAATTGGCCATATGTCTAACGTAGTAAAATGGGCCCTTGGGTTTCGGGGTCTTAGGGAACATGCTCTGGGTGTCTCTGGCCCTCAGTTTCCTCATCTACAAAACAAGAAGGCGCAGTAGGTTATCTCTGAGGTCGCTTTGGACTGAAATACAGAATAATACTTGGGAAAAGGGCGCTGAGAATGTACTAGTACTATCTGATTGAAATATTTGGAATTCCCAAAGTGTTTTCACAGATATGATCTCATTAATGTTCATGACCCCGCTTTCCTGTGTTGGTGGGATAGGCATTGTTCCTCTCACTTAGTAACGAGGAGCCAAGACCCAGGGGAGGTCCCACCAATGTTTGGTGGCAGAGCCAGGCTCAGCAGCTTTGAGACCCAGCCAAGCACAGGCTCAATGAGAACCAGATTGGGGGGGAGGGTGTGAAGGCCCAAGCCAGGGCAGAAAATGGGTTAGCATTCACTCGGAGGTTTATTTATTTTATTTTATTTTTTATTTTTAAATATACTTTTTATTGATTTTTTATAGAGGGAGGGAGAGGGATAGAGAGTCAGAAACATCGATGAGAGAGAAACATCGATCAGTGCCTCCTGCACACCCCCTACTGGGGATGTGCCCACAACCAAGGCACATGCCCTTGACCAGAATTGAACCTGGGATCTTTCAGTCCGGAGGCCAACGCTCTATCTACTGAACCAAACCAGTCAGGGCTACTTGGAGGTTTAGATTGGAGGGTAAATTCCTAAAAAAACAGGAGATGAGGGTGTCAGTGGAGAACTCTGGGAGAAAGGGAAGAGTTACTGAGGAACTCCAAACCCTTGTCATGTATCAGACACGCATCTGCCGTTTCAATAAATTCTTACAGCAGCCACATGAAATGGGGTCTTACCATTTGGCACGTTGGAAAGCAGGCTCAGAAAGTTCAGATAGTTTGTCCAAGACAACCCAGCTGAAAAGCAGAGGACTCTGAACTGTACCCCAGGGAATTTGAACCCAAAGCCCTGGGTCTTTCTATTGCTATTTAATTGGGAGAAGCCAGGGGGTTGGGGTTGAGGAGGGAGGGGGCTTAGTGCCCGTGGGTGTTTGGTTGAGAGGGTCAGGTTGGTGGATCCAGGACTGTGGAGCCTCTCACTGTGCTACAAAGAGTTAAAAAAAAAAAAACCTTTGCCCCCTCCTCCCGCCTCTTCCCGCCTCCTCCAGCCTCCTCCCCCAAGTCCTTCCTGTCTTGGTGTTGCAACACCCATCAGCCTCTCTCCCTTCCCCTCCCACCTCCTCTTTGCTTTAATGTTCTCATAGTTCAGACTCAGGCCTGGGTTCTGGCCTTCGGGGTTTGAGGCCTCTGGGACTTGAGCCTGATCTTCATCCCAAGTTCAACCCTTCACCCCTTCACCTAAGGCCAGGGCTCCACTGACCCGCCCATCCCGGGACTCAGGGACTCCGTCGCTGCCACTTTGCCTGCCGCCACCGCTGCTGTCTCCGCTGCCTGAGCCCTGATGGGGGAGTGAGAGGCCACAGCTGGCCGGACATGGGCCTCCCCACCGTGCCTGGCCTGCTGCTGCCACTGGTGAGACCAGGGACCCGGGCGGGGTGGGCTGGTGGGCGCAGGGTGCTGCCGGCGGCCTGGAAGGAGCCCTTGCCAGGGAGAGGGCCCCTGGACTGACCTTAGCCAGAAGCCCAGGTTTCCCTGAATCAGGGGCAGGGGAGAAGTTTGAAAGGTGCGGAATAAAAGGGAGCTCTGGCCCCTGACAGCCAAGGAAGTTCACTGGGGTTAAGGGGTGTTTGAAAATGTGGGGACGAGTGATGGCTGAGGGTGGGGCAGATTTAGTAGGGAAGGAAAAGAGTGGGGGAAGAAGTCAGTCCCTCAGATTCCAGATGATTCAGAACTCTGGCCCGGCCCTCTGGTCAGCTGGCCGGCCCTCTGGTCAGCTGGCTGGCCCAGGAGTGTGTTGGGGTGTGGAGGTGCGTCTGCCAGTGGCCAGTGGGAGAGCAAACCCTGCTCAAGGACAGGAGTTGGGGGATTGTGAAGTGGGGAAACAGAGTCTGGGAGGAGGGGTCAGTGGGTGTGGTGAGTTTGAGGTGCCATATGGTGGGAGGTCTGTGGGAATGGAGTGGGAACTGGCATGGGCCTCCCATGGAAATCATGTCCTGTGTTCCCCCAGGCTGAGGCTTCCCACTGGGGACGTTCTTGTTTGTTTGTTTTGAGAAGCCACAAGTACAATGGTAAATCTGGCACCAACGGGGGCATTCTTCAACCTCTGCCTCTGCCTCAGTTTCCAGGCAGGTGGCTTCCGCTGGACTGCCCCTCTTAGGTAGCTAGCACCAGCTCCACCTGGACATTGTCTCTCTGCCCACTCGCCGGCCCCTCCCCACAGCCCTGGACTATAATACAATCCCTTGGTTTCTTCTATAGTCAGTTTGAGGAAGTTGGAAGAAAGTTGTTTTCGTCACTGGAAAATGTCCCTTTCTCTTGCGTTGGTCTTATGTGAAGGTATCCCTTATCACTCTCCGTGTCTGGAGGAGTCACCCTGTGCAGATGCCCCGAGTCCCCCGCCACCCCTCATCCCCCCTCCCCCAGGCTGGGTGCATTTCCCACCTGTGATGCCCAGTTTCTTCTGAGTCCCTGCCCACCCCATGGCTCCTTCCTCTCCTTCCTCAGGGTGTTAATTTTCTCTTCCAGAAATGTCCTCAGACTTCTCAGAGACTCCTTTTGGAAATTCTTTCGCTTGAGTTCCCTCCCTCTCTCTCTCTTTTCCATATTTCTAGACCTTAGTGTCCCACACAACCTCTCTCTACCCTAATCTTCGGGTTCTCCCACCTCCTGTCTCCCAGCCCCATCTCTCCCCTTCTTTCAAGGCTGGCCTCTCAGGTCACCCCAACCGGCTCCTCTTTTTGGCAGTAGATCCAGCTCTACTCACATGCTAGTTGCCTAAACTTGAGCAGGTTATGCAACCCCTCCATGCCATGGTTTCCTTATCTCTAACGTGAACCTAATAGTCACTACCCCATAATGTTGTTTGGAAGATTAAGTAGATTGGTATATTTTAAATATTCAATTTATTAAGTGTCTGCTCTGTGCTAGAAACACTGTTTTAGGGGTTGGGACTACGGAACACACAAAATCACTGCCCTCAGAGAGTCTACATTCTAGAAGAGGGATAGGGTGGAACAAATAGAAAGTGCTCAGTAAATGCTAGCTTTTACATTGTTAGTGTTAGGAATAAATAGGAAAGTACAGTAGTTATTCCTTGATGGCTACTGCTTTTGGAAAACAGGTGACAGTAGCCCAAAAGATAAAAGGAAAGTGTCTGGGGGCTGTGGCTGGGGCTGATCGGATCCAGCCCAGGTGAGAGTCTGACACCAGCTCAGCCTGGAGTTGGAGGAGAAATGGGGAGTATGCAAGGTCTGGATAAGGCTGTCCATGAACTTTCCAGTTGCTCACCACTCAATGGGCAATTCAGAGCACACAGTGTGTGTGTGTGTGTGTGTGTGTGTGTGTGTGTGTGTATGTGTGTGTGTTGGGAAGGGACTGGGAAAGAATACAGGAGAGAGTGTGATAAGCAAACAGGATGTTGCTACTCTCAAAGAGCTTACAGTTTAGGAGCCAAGACAGCTTTCAGCAAAAATATGATTTCGGAACAGTCTGGAAGGAAATCTTCACAAAAGCATCCTGATGTGATGCCCTGGGACACCAATCGAGTGTTGTCCAGGTGCCTTTTCTAGGGTAGCAGATCTCAGCTCCAGGAGCACACCTTGCACAGACCGCAGAGTCTTCCAGTGGCTCTCTGCAACCCATGGAGAATGCACGAGAGCATGAGCGGTGTTGCTTCATCTCTGCCTCCCTGGCGCATAGATTTTGAAAAAATATATGTTTTATTGATTTTTTTTTTTTTTTTTTTTTTTTTTTTTTTTTTTTTTTAGGGAGAGAGGAAGGGAGAGGGAGAGAGAGAAACACTGAGCAGTTGATTCTGACCAGGGATCGAGCCCACACCCTGGGTATGTGCCCTGACCAGGAATCAAACTGGGGACTGTTTGGTGCATGGGACAGGTGGATGGATGCTCAACCATCTGAGCCACACCTGTCAGGGCCCTGATGCATAGATTGATTCTCCTTAACTATTTGTTGAATGAATAAAGAAGCAAAAGATTGGTTAGATGGGATGAGGTTGGGAAAACCTTGTAGAAAAGTGGATTTGCCCTGGCTGGATGGCTGAGTTGGTTAGAATGCCATCTCATACACAGAAAAGGTTTCAGGTTTGATTCTCTGTCAGCGCACATACCTAAGGTTGCAGTTCCATCCTGGTCAGGGCATGGGGTGCGGTCGGGGTGTGGGGTGCATATGGGAGATCCGTGTTTCTCTCTTTCTCATCCTTCCTCTCTCTCTAAAAATCAATGAACATATATCCTGGGATGATGAGAAAAAAGAGAAAGAAAAAGTGGATTTAGAGCTGAGATTCGAAGTCACTGATTGGCAGGGTGGCTAGAAAGAAGGGAGACTGGTTGAGGAAAATTAGAGAAGGGAGAGAGGGGTTTTTGTGCTGGGAGGTGATGGCAGGAAGCTGAACACTCTGGCTGGAGTGGAAGACCATTTTGAGCAGTGGTTCTCAACCTTTCTAATGCCTCGACCCTTTAATTACAGTTCTTCATGTTGTGGTGACCCCCAACCATAAAATTATTTTCGTTGCTACTGTTAATGAATCGTAATGTAAATATCTGTGTTTTCTGATGGTCTTATGCGACCCTGCTATCAACCCACAGGTTGAGGACCGCTGCTTTCGAGCCTAAGACCATCGGAAAACACAGATATTTACATTATGATTCATAATAGTAGCAAAATTACAGTTATGAAGTAGCAACGAAAATAATTTTATTTTTTAGCAAGGTCGCATAAGACCATCAGAAAACACAGATATTTACATTACGATTCATTAACAGTAGCAACGAAAATAATTTTATGGTTGGGGGTCACCACAACATGAGGAACTGTATTAAAGGGTTGCGGCATTAGAAAGGTTGAGAACCACTGATGTTGAGGAACAATAAATGAGAATGAACCTTGGCTGATATGGCTTAGTTGGTTGAGTGTTGTCCCATGCACTGAGAGGTCACCAATTCGATTCCTAGCCAGGGCACATGTCTGGATTGCAGGCTCAGTACCCCAATCAATGGTTTTCTCAACGATGTTTTCCCTCTCTCTCTTTTTCCCTTCCTTCCTCTCTAAAATCAATAGTAAAATTAAAAAAAATATTAAAATTTTTAAAAAAGAAAAAAATTAGCCCTAGTGGGTTTGGCTCAGTGAATATAGTATTGGCCTACAGAGTGAAGGGTCCTGGTTTGATTCCAGTCACGAGCATTTACCTTGGTTGCAGGCTCCTTCCCCGACCAGGACTCAAGCCCGAGTCAACCAATCAATGTGTTTCTCTCACATTGATATTTCTTTCTGACTATCCCTTCTCTTCCACTCTCTCTAAAAATCAATGGAAAAATATCTTCAGCCGAAACCGGTTTGGCTCAGTGGTAGAGCATCGGTCTGCAGACTGAAAGGTCCCAGGTTCGATTCCGGTCAAGGGCATGTTCCTGGGTTGCGGGCACATCCCCAGTAGGGGGTGTGCAAGAGGCAGCTGATCCATGTTTCTCTCTCATCGATGTTTCTAACTCTCTATCCCTTTCTCTTCCTCTCTGTAAAAAATCAATAAACTATATTTAAAAAAGAAAAGAAAAGAAAAATATCTTCAGGTGAGGATTAACTTAATTAATTAATAAGAAAATTGGAGGGAGTATGGGAAGGGATGAAAAGAGAATCTTGAACCGTGGTCCCAGGTACAGGAATTCATTCATTCATTCATTCATTCATTCAGAAAGGGTTCTCTGAGGCCCACTGTCCAGGAATGTGTTCAGGATAGTAGTGAGACACCTCTGCTATTCTCAGGATAGCAGTGACCTGTGGAAACGATGTCGAGGTCAGGCTCTGGAGAGGAAGATTCCCACACATGTGGGTGCACGTTAAAGCATGAATGCAGATAAGGAAGTCTGTGGGATGGGTTGGAGCAGGAAAGGGGCTGGGCAGTCTGCTGGATGACAGTTGCAGGAATTCGGGTGTGAGGCAACCATGGACATGGAGAGGGCCCCGGGATCACAGAGAAGGACTGGCAAGAGGAATGACAAACTGGATGGCAGCAGGGGTGGGGAGGGCCCTGAAGAGAGACGGGTGGCAGAGGTCTCAGCATTGGTGCCGAGAAGTTGGTGGTGCGACACTTCTCTAGGGCAGGAGATGATGGGTTTAATTTGGGGCATGCTAGGGGTCCGGAGAATAGCCAAGCGAAGTACGTGTCTTAACAAGCCAGAGCGGAGGTTCTCAAACTCTTATCAGCCTCTGTATCATCCGTAGGTGCTGCTTTTACTCACCAGTGACTCTCAAAGGGAGAGGGAGGGAACAGTTACCACAATCTCCAGTGAGGGTGTACATGTGTGGGATGGAGGCGGGTTCTTTAAGAACTCTCCCCTGGAGATAAATATATTCCTAAGGGGAGGGGGGGACACTGACTCACTACTCCCCTCTTTGGAAATCATTGGCCTCACCTGGAGTGGAGGACAGGTCAGCCATTAGGTCAGCCTTGTGTGTGTGTTTTTTTGCCCCTCCCCCCAGTTCTGGGTGCCGAGAAGATACCCAAGAAGATAGGCCACTATCTCTGACCAAGATGCCCTCTCTGGTCTCTTAGAGAGTTTATGGTCTAGTGGGAAGATCGTATCTACTCACCCAAGATAATTCTATTACGATAAAGCGCCAAGAATACGTAAAGTTAATTCGTGTTATTAAAGTTCACAGGGAGCTGAGCATCTAATGAGCTTGGGTAAGGGAAGCCTCATTAACGGAGGGCTTCAGGGCAGGGAGGTGGGGTTGCAACGGGGCTTTGGAGAAGCTTCTTGAGCTCCTCCAAGGTTCTGACGTTCAGTGAACAAACACAACGCTATGGACAAATTCTAGCCCGTGTGGCTCAGCTGGTTGGGCATCATCCTGTGCACCGAACGGTTGCTGGTTCAGTTCCTGGTCCAGGCACACGCCTGAGTTGTGGGCTCGATCCCTGGTAGGGAATGTGCTGGAGGCAGCTGATCCATGTTTCCCTCTGATATTTCTCTCTTTTCTTCTTTTTCTAAGTGAAAGTCTTAAAAATCCTTACCGGGGAAGGGGTCAGCTGAGCAGCCTGGTGAGGTAGCTGGGTCAGAGTAGACCACAGGGTCGCTTTCCACCCCCTGCTGCAGCCCCAGCAGGAAGCCACACTTTAAAGCCTGCCCACACGGAAGTTGTGGGGGAGTTGGAGGGGTGCTGGGCCACCCCCTCAGCCATCTCTCCACAGGCACCCCCGGCTTCCTGCCCTTCCCCTGCTCCAAGTCACAGCTACACAAGCTGGGGTCTGGGTGCTCTGAGCTCACCTGCTTCTGCTGCTTTGCTGCAAGATGCAGCTGCTGAGGACGGTGCTCACTGGAGCCAGCCAGTGCTAACCAAGGGCGCCGCTGCTGGGGGCCACAGAGGACCTGGGCGATGGCACTGACTGTCTGGCGTCCCTTCTTGTGTGCTCGCTCCTGGAAGTGGGTATCCAGGGCTCCGGAGCTTTTCCTGTGCTGCCAGTGTGTTTGGGGAGGGGCTGAGGAGGAGGCAGAACTGGCCTTATTTCCTAAGGATTGTCTGGGACCCCAAACAAGTCCCCAGACTCAACCTAACTGGCCAGAGCCAGCTAGGCTGTGGGAATGCAGCAAATCTGGTATGTGTGGAGGGGCAGCCTTAGTTGACTTCCTTCTGGAACTGGGGGCCTGGGAGAGAACTGCAGGGGTGGGGCTTATCTATAGGGGCTGGGTGAGCTGGGAGGAGGAGCCAGGATGGGGCCTAGTCTAAAGGAAGGATGCTGAGGGGTGGGAAGGAATTGGGGAAGGGATTGAGTGGCTCTCAGGGAGGGGTGGGTAGTGACTTGACGGGAGGAGGCCAGAGGTCCAGGGAGACTTCCCTTTGGGATGGAATGGGAGAGGGGGCCACTTCCCGAAATAGGGGGGGGCCCAGTGGGACAGGGGTCCGTTGCCTGGCTCTTTTGAGAAGGAGGGGAGGGAGGAAAGGGGGCGCACAGGAGGAAGAGATCCGGTGCTACCATCTGCTGGCTGGCCCTTTGGTCTTTCTGCTGACTCATGAACCCGGAGGAGCTGGGGAACTGCTGGTTCCCTCTCCCCTCCCCCAGGCCCTCTCCCTCCCTCTGGCCTGAGTCACTGGGCGGTGCTTCTGGGAAAAGATTTCCCTTTCCCGGATTTGACTTAACCCCCAAAGTGCTGCCCAAGGAGCAGACACGTGGCCGAGAGTGCTTCCCTCCCTCCCGCCCTCCTGGGAAGTTAATTCCTCACAGGCTAGAGGTCCTTGAGAAGCTCCCCCCCCCCCCCCCCAGCCTGTCCAGGAACTGAAAGCCCCCTCCCCCCCACCCCCGCCTTCTCCCCCAGTTCATCCTGGCTCTGCCTCTGTTGGCTTAGCGCCCAGCCTCCCTGGATGGAATGCCAAGTGCCCACGACCTTAGGTGCTGTTTTCTCTCCTTCGGGAAAAGCTCTTCTTTCGGGATCGGGAAGTTCTTGTCATTAACTTCTCACACTCTTCCTGTTGCCCTGGAAGCCCCAGTCCTGCTCAGGGGAAATGGTGCAGGCGCCCCCCACCCCCGGAGTGGGCCAGGAGGGGCCGCTGCCCTCTGAGGAGGGGGGCATGCGTCTTTGGGAGCTGCTCAGGTTTGCTGCCGTGTTTCTGAGTATGGCTTCCCTTGGGGGTGCCCCAGGCCCTGGCATTGGGGTTGCTGCAGTGTCTCCCAAGGGGCGACTGAGGTGCACGAGCTGCCTGTTGATATGCGGGGCCACTGGGGCTGCGGGCTGCTAGGCCCTCTTGTCTGGGCCGAGGTTTCCGTGATCTGATGAGTCTGTGGCTCCCCATTATTTAGTATATTTGAGGACATCCTCTTTTCTTCACATAAACAGCTCTTACGGCAGAGAAACAAAAACTGAGAACTAGGAAAGCCAGCAAGAGGCTGAGCAAGGAGCAAAGTCTGGGTTTGACAGAGCACTGACCCTGGCTTTGCCGTCCAGGCACCTAAGCCAGAAACGGGCCAGTGAGTCAGCTGCCATGGGCTTGGCCCACGGCTTCCTTGGGACTCCCTGGCGGCCCCCGCTCCCTCCTCCCCCCCCCCTACTCCCCTTTGCTCCTGACTTGACTGAAACTTGAGCTTGGATCCCCAGCCTCTGGCCACTACATGCCTTTGCCACTCCTGTCTCCATGGGAATTTTGTCACCCCTGACAAGGATGCTTGACCATGAACTTTCCCTTCAACTCCCCTCTTCCTGGTCCTGGCCGACCTGGAGTATTTGTGCAGATTAGGTGGTGGGAGGGGTGTGGCATGGAGTCTGGGGGTGGGATTCTGAGTGAGTTTTTGATACAAATTTATTAAGAAACCCATGCTGCCCTAACCAGTTTGGCTCAGTGGATAGAACATCTGCCTACAGACTCAAATTCCGGTCAAGGGCATGTACCTTGGTTGCGGGCACATCCCCAGTAGGAGATGTGCAGGAGGAAGATGTTTCTCTCTCATTGCTGTTTCTAACTCTCTCTCCCTCTTTCTTCCTCTCTGTAAAAAAAACAATAAAATATATTAAAAAGAAAAAAAAAAGAAAAGAAACGAAACTCATGCTTCTGCCCAGAAACCGTGCCCACATGGACAGTACTTACCTCCATTCCACTGGGATGTGACTAAGAGCCTCATTGCTGGTATCACATAATGTAGAAACAGTGAGCCCACTGGCCACCTCTGCGAATGCTCGCTTTGTGGTCACACAGCGCTCAGAGAAACAACCTCAATCGTTGGGACCGCTGATTGGGAGGGAAGGGGCAGCATAGAGGTGACATGTCAGTTTCTAATTAAAAACAACAACACATTCTTGAACATCTGCCCTGTGTCCGACACAGTTATTGGCCATGGGGAAATAAGGGTAAGATACAACTGGGCCAGGGGTCTCCCAGGCTTGAGTTGAAGGGACATAGGACATTACTACACAGGACTACTGGAGGACAGTTATGCGCTAGATTGCACGGTGCCAACTGTTCAAGCTCAGGTCCTGATGGGATCTCCTCTGCTGTTTCTTCCCCAGGTGCTCCTGGCACTGTTGGTGGAAATATTCCCTTCAGGGGTCATTGGACTGGTCCCGCGCTCCAGGAACCGGGAGAAGAGAGACAGCCAGTGTCCCCAGGGAAAATACAAACACCCTCAAAACGGCTCCATTTGCTGTACAAAGTGCCATAAAGGTAGGATAACAGTGACTCTCCTCCTTGTGGGCCCTGCTACTTTCTTTCCTTTTGTCCCCAAGTCTCCTGACGTAGCTGCTTCTCTTTGGCTGAGATTTTCTCCCTCCTTTCCTCTCCGGAGAGCAGCCCCGGCTGCTCTCCCTAGCACGGGGTTCCTTCCCTGAGCTCTCCGCTGCAGCCTAACCCAGACCCTCCCAATCACAGGGACCTACCTATACAATGACTGCCCAGCCCCAGGGCAGGACACAGTCTGCAAGGAGTGTGAAAAGGGCACCTATACTGCAGTTGAGAACTTCCTCAAACATTGCCTCCCCTGCTCCAAATGCCGGAAAGGTGAGTCTCCGGGGCGGGCCAGGGCTGTAAGTAGGATGGGCCAGATGGGCATGGAGAGGGGTGTGCATGTCTGTGCTACTGGGTGCGGGCGTGTGCCTGTGTGATGGAGTGTGTGGGTGGGCAAGAATGCGTGCCACCGAGAGAGGCTCCTACCCCAACTCTTCCCCTCACCAGAAATGGACCAGGTGGAGATTTCTCCTTGCATGGTAAACCAGAACACCGTGTGTGGCTGCAGGAAGAACCAGTACCAGGAGTATTTGAGTGACAATCTTTTCCGGTGCCGGGACTGCAGCCCCTGCCTCAACGGCACGGTGCACATCTCCTGTGAGCATGGCCCTCCTGACCCCAGCCCCATCCTCATTGCAGGGGTGGGCCCTGTCTTAGGGGGAGGGCCTCCCATTTGAGCACCCCTTTCCTAAGAGACAGCATTTTCCAACCTTCCCACTCCTGCAGTCTGTGGGGACACCTCCACTCAGGCCATTTATCCTGGCCCCCTCCCAGCTCCCCCTCTGCTCCTCTAACAGTGCTGCCCTCTCCCCACAGGCAGTGCGAAGCAGAACACCGTGTGCATTTGCCACGCAAAGTTCTTCCTAAAAGACAACAAGTGCATCTCCTGTGATAAGTGAGTATCTCCCAGCTGCTGGGCCCTGGGTCAGGGGGCACGGGGTGGCTGTGGTGAGAGCCACCAGCAGGACAAGGGAGACACCCCAGGTGCTCTGGCTCCCATTGGTTGGTTGAGTGGGAGACACTTCATGTCAAGACAGCAGGTGGACCTTCTCCTTTCCTCGTTTATTGGTCAAATCTTAAGAAGTCTTTAGGGACAGACTCAAGACACCAGGGACTTATAGTTCTAACTCGGGCATTCAGATTCTTCTTTTTCTGACATTAAAATTCTTGGGTGACAGTGTCTCTAATTAATTCACATCTCTGAAATCAGACTGCATCTTACAACAATGGATGATGTAGCATGGTTTAACTTGTAGCTCTGGGTGAGTGTTTTATGCAAGTAACTGTGCCTCCTAGTGTTGATGGTATTGTAGTATTTCCTCCCCAGTCCCTTTGACCAGGCCTCCACACTTCTGGCTCTACAGAGGCTGTTCTTGAATACTTGCTTGCAAAGAAGAAACTCTGAGGGCTCTAAAGTTGAGCTGACCGGGGTTTAAATCTCAACTTAGCCATTTATTGGCTGTGCAACTTTGGACAAGTGATGTAACATCTCTAAGTCTTAATTTTTTAAATTTATTTTTATTTTACCATTATGGGTAATGCCTGGTAGGTGTGGCTCAGTGACTGAGCATTTGCCCATGAACCAGGAGGTCACGATTCCATTCCCGGTCAGGGCACATGCCCGGCTTGCAGGTTCCATCCCCAGTAGGGGGAGTGCAGAAGGCAGCTGATCAATGATTCTCTCTCATCATTGATGTTTCTCTCTCTCTCTCTTTCTCTCTCCCTCCTTCTCCCTTTCCCTCTCCCTCTCCTCTCCTCTCTCTAAAAATCAATAAAATATGTTACAAAAAATAAAGTAAGGATAATAATGATATCCACTTGGCGAAATTGTAAGAACCACGATCTATGGCTACAAAATGTCTAATAAGAAACTCTTTTCTTTTTCTCCCAGCTAAGTTTTGTCTCTGCTCAAAAGAGCTTTACACCCTTCCCATAGGGTTCTCATCATGAGCTTGTGAATCTGAATCTTCCTGCTTTCAGATTCCTGGTGAGAACTCACCTTCTCAAGATCATTCCAGGCCTGCCATGTAGTTCTCATCACTCCACGCTGCCCAGTGACCACTCCCAACATGGGAAGATGTGCTTGTTCTAGAGTGCTCTCCGGTGCCTGCCAGCAATGTGTATTTTTAAATTTTTCACATGCACGTTTGACCCCTCCCACAAAGTCAGATATTGTCTAGACACAGTGTTTCCCAAACTTTTGACATGTGTGTACCCCTTCTATAATTTTCATAACTCTGAGTACCCCTCGTACTCATGAGAATGTAGAATTAGGCGCAGCTAAGCACGGTGCAGTGCATATCCTCACCAAACTCCGGTGCAACGCGTACCCCCACCAAATTCTTCCTATACCCCTGGGGGTACACGTACCACACTTTGGGAAACACTGGTCTAAAGCAATACCATCTTGAGAAAAGGCTCTATAACCTCTCTTTGCCACAGGATTCACTTCAGCAGAACAATGATAAAGTAACAATCCAATGACAGCTACCACTTGTTGAGCACATACTATATGGCAGGCAGGATTTTCTCACTCAGTCCTCAATCCTGATAGGTGGGTAGGATCCCTGTTTTCCTGATGAGGAAACAGAGACTTACAGGTTACATGACTTGCTTGGAGTCACACTGCTAGCCAATGACTGGGCTGGAATTTAAACCCCAACTCTGACTGCTTTTAACTGTTTTCCAACACAGCCTCTTCAAGATAAGTTTTAAATTATTTAAAAAATATTTTTGAATGATTTCAGAGAGGGAGAGAGAGTAGAACATCAATGATGAGAGAGAATCACTGATTGGCTACCTCCTGCACACCCCCCTACTGGAAACTGAGCCCACAACCCAGACATGTGCCCTTGACTGTAATCAAACCCCAGACCCTTCAGTCTGCAGGCTGACGCTCTATCCACCTAGACAAACCAGCTAGGGCTAACTTAGATGATTTCGTGTTCATTTATTTCATTCCTGTGCATCAGTTCCCAAGCTAGTTTTAATTTTCACTCTTTTTTCAAGAGATAGTTAAAATACTTGTAAAGCAGAGAATTCCCAAAATGTGTTTTTTTTCCTTTCCTTTCTTTATTTTTTTTTAAACCTATATTCCTATGGTAGGGTCCCTACTCACCTGTGCAATTTCCTCTTTCAGTTGTGAGAAAAACTCGGAGTGCACGAAGTCGTGCCCATACACAGGTAACCTGCAGGTTACTGGGAGACCTCCGGACTCAGGTGAGGAGAAATGACCCGGAGCCCATGCTCACCTGCCTCGTCCTAACCGTGCCCCGCACCCACCCATCAGCCCTACTTCCTCCTGCAGCCCGCCCTGATCTCTATCTGCTTTGTCTCCAGTGCTGTTGTCCCTGGTGATCTTCCTTGGTTTCTGCCTTTTATGCCTCCTCTTCATGGGCTTAACATGCCACTTCAAACGGTGGAAGCCCAAGCTCCAGTCCATCGGTGAGTGGGGCCGCTGGGAGAGGAGGGGGTGCCAGTGGGGGAACTGAGAGGAGGCGGGGTGGCAAGACGCACCAGCGCGGAGGGAGTGAGCATCCCCCCAGTTGGCTGCGGAAGGCTCCCTTGGTGGCGGGCGGCCGGGGGTGGTGGTAAGAGGTCACCCTGCATCAGTAGCTCTCTCATCCCTGGGACCACATAGGCCCTGAAGCTTGCCACCACAAGTCCCCGGGGCCAGCCCCAGTATGGGCGCCAGGGCTGAGAGAGGAAGTGAAATTTATGACATACTGTTTCTTTTTTTCTCAGTTTGTGGGAAATCGACACCTGTAAAGGAGGTAAGATGAAACCAGAGATCCTCCCCATCCCCCTTTCCCACTTTCCTGACTGTCCATTGTAATCTTGTAAGAACCAAATCAGGTATTGTAACCCCTGACCCTCAGGATCCCCTAACTCCCTCTAGTCCCAACCCCATCCAGAAACGAATAGAGGGCCAGGCTCTTTTTACTCTCCCCCACGAATGCTGTACATCGTCTCCAGGATCCCTAACTCCCCTTAGTCCCAGCCCCGTCCAGAACAGAGAAGGCCGGGCTGTTTTTACTCTCCCCTCACGAATGCTGTACCTTGTCTCTTTCAGGGGGTGCCGCCGGAGCTCCTGGCCTCCGCCCCAGGCTTCAGCCCCACCACAGGCTTCAGTCCCGTCCCCACCTCCACACCAAGCCCCACCTCCACCCCTGGTGAGTGGTCCGACTACAGAGTTGCACCGCAGCCACCCAGAGAGATGGCCCCGTCCCACCAGGGGGCCGGCCCTCTGCTCACCGCGACTCCAGCCTCCACTCCCAGCGCCACCTTGCTTCCCAATTGGGAGAGCAGCACCTACGCGCAGCGCCCAGATGGTGAGCACCCACCCCGCCGGCCGGGAATCCTGTTGGGGTTGCAGGCGGGCGGGGCTCCAAGAGAGCGCGTGCATGAGCCGGGGCGGGCCTGGAAGTCACAGTTCCAGGGCTTACCCCACTCCCCTCTTCCCTGCAGCGGACCCCGCGACGCTGTACGCCGTGGTGGACGGCGTGCCCCCGTCGCGCTGGAAGGAGTTCATGCGGCGCCTGGGGCTGAGCGAGCACGAGATCGAGCGGCTGGAGCTGCAGAACGGCCGCTGCCTGCGCGAGGCGCACTACAGCATGCTGGCGGCCTGGCGGCAGCGCACGCCCCGGCGCGAGGCCACGCTGGAGCTGCTGAGCGTCGTGCTCCGCGACATGGACCTGCTGGGCTGCCTGGAGGACATCCTGGCGGCGCTGGGCGCCCCCGCCTCCCACCCCCTGCAGCCCCACCTGTCCCGGTGAGGCCACGCCCCCGGGAGGGGCCTGCCCGGAGCACGACGGTTTCCTGCCCCCAGGACCTCGGGAGGACTTCGCAAGGGACCCTCTCCTCAGGCACGAGCTGGCAGCCACTTCCTTGGTGCTACTTCCTCGGTGCTCAGAGCTCCCTGAGCTGTCTGAGCACTGCCGGAGGGTCAGCTGTGCGTGTGCATGTGCGTGTATGTGTGAGTGAGTGAGAAAGAGGGAGGGGGAGAATGTAGATGGATAAATGTGGTGTGTGCGGTTGTGAGAGTCTGAGTGTGCCCCGAGCCCAAGCGGGTGGTTGTGGGGGCGCCATGCCTAGTCCCTGTTTCCGGCCTGGAGGACCCATCAAGGCCCGTTAGCAGCCCTGGTTGGTCCCGGCCCTTTTCCACACACACAAACAATCCGTATCAACGATGCCATGCTAATGGAACCTGGCACCTCTCGGTTCCCTGCCTGGACAAGCACAGAGACAGCTGAGTTGTCCCTGGCAGGGGCAAGCACACACCGTGGAGCCTCCCGCTGGAGCTGTGGACTTGTGTAAATACACTAAAACTGGAGAATTAAAGCTCTGCTCCTGGAGGGGGTGCGCCTTCTGAGTGATGGTGGGAGCCCGGGCAGGGCCTGGGTCCTGCTGGGTGGGATGGTGACAAGTCCACCCGGGCCAGGTACCCCGCCGTCCTCCAGCCTGCTGCCGGAGGAGCAGCCTGTGTGCACTGCTGCCCCCTCGGGTTCTTCCCACCCTCGGCGCTGACCGGGCAGGCAGTTTTATGCACAACTTTATGTGGGCTCTGGTGCCTATGGTACACAATGTACAGCGCGATCCGCAGAGTTCTTAGAGCAGGAAGGCCCCGTATCGCGGGCCAGGCTTCTTCCTGGGGAGTGTGGGCCTTGAGGTGCAGTCCTGGAGGGCAGGGGGTGGTGACCAGCACTCTTGGGGAGAGATTTCCTCGGCAGCAATGCCAAACCAAAGGTCCCGCGTGTTCCTCACACCTCTCTGCAAAGACGGGGTGAAGAGTGAGGCTCAGGGCCCGGCCCTGCCATGGCCCCTGCTCTGGGTCTGCCCTTCTATACCGACCCCTCCCCACCGACCTCTTACCCTGACACTTCCCCATCCCTGCCCACTCCATCCTGGCCTGCCTTCCTCCCCTCTGCTCCCTCCCAGCCCACATTCCCTTCAGCACTTACGATGCGGACAGGGGGGTGTCCAGCCGTATGATGTGAGGCCCACGCATCCTCTGCAATTGGACCCGAGTCAGCTTCCGAGGCCCGCTGTCCCCGGGCTCCGGGACGCCCTCGATCCTTTGGCTGGCCAGCTCCTCCCGGATCTCTCTGAGCATGTCCTCAGCACTGAGGGGGCCAGGGGATCTTCGGAAGAGGGGCCCCTCTTCTTCCTCGTCCTCTGAGGACGCCCAGGGGCTTTCCCCAGCAGAGTCCGCGTGGGTCGGGGAGTGTGGGAGCTGCCCCCGAAGCTGGGCCCTATGCAAGGTCTCCACTACCACGTTCCCGCCCACTGAGGTCCCATCTTCTTCCTCGGACCAGGTGGGCGTTTCTCCCCTGGGAAGGCTGCTTCCTCTTCGGATAACGTCCCCCGGCAGTTCAGGGGTGCTTCGGCGCTGGAGAGCTTGGGGGTCAGGAGGCTGAGGGCGCAAGGTAACATCCCGGAGGTCCAGGGCGGAGAGGGTGATGCCGGGGTGCTGCCGAAGGGCCCACGGGCGCAGCCGGCTCAGAGGGGAGTGGGGCTCCTTGGGGGAGACCGGGATCAGAGTGCCGTAGCCGGAGTCCGAGGTGTCATCTGGTACCGAGGGGCTGTCTTCATCCGTGTCGTCCGTCACCACCAGTTGGGGGATGATGGTGCAGAACTCAGAATTCCTACAAATGAATGAATGGTCAGAGTCCGATGCTAAGAGGGGTCAAGTTCAAATCCAGGAAGTATCCTTTGACCGATCCATTAAGAAAATGGTCCCTCCTCCAAATTTAATTTGGTGTTGCCTTTGCACTGTTTTGTCACCTCTGGTTGGACTGGAAACTCACAACACCAGGTCCAGGTCCTTGTGTCAAGTAGGTGCTCAGCTATTTTCTGGGAGGTTCCTGAGATCCGAGGTTACCCCTGTGATGGCTCTTTTTTTCTCCACCCATGCTGCTGAACAGCTGTGTTTAAGATTGAACCTTTCACACTCTGGGAATTTGGACTAAGGTGGTCCCTTCAGCTCGGACTTTCTGCCAATCCTTACCGGCCTTCACTCCACCCCCAGGCAGTTTGCGCTTCTTGTGTTTATTTCTTTCAGCCTGCGCCAACCCTAGGCTGGCTACCCTCCTAGGCTGCCCCAGGAGGCCCTTCACATAGCTGATGCCAACCTGTTCTCCAACCTGCAGCCTGGGTTCCCCAGTGTATTCCTAATTCACCCCGAGCGCTGTTATATCATTGGTCAGCCTTTCCTCGTCTCTCCCTCTTTACCTGCAGCCTCCTTCCTGTGGGAGAGCTTATGGGCCCTGTGGGTCTTACCTCCCCTCCACGCTGCTCTGAGAGCCCTCTGGGGAAGGCGTGGAGGGCCTGGTGCTCAGCGACTCCTGGTCCCGGTCCCTGTAGAGGGCCAGGAGTTCCCTCTTCTGTTGGACGTATTCCTCTGCCTTCAGCTTTTGCAGGGTGACCTGGGATGGGAATACTTCCATTAAGATCCCTGATTATTGTTGATTAGAGTGTTGTCCTGATGTGCCAAGGTTGCAGGTTCGATCCCCCCTCAGGGCACACACAAGAATCAACCAATGAGTGTATAAATTAGTGGAACAACAAATCAATGTCTATCTCTAATACATTTTAAAAATATTTAAAATTATATTTTAAAAAAATCCTCTGTTATTGAGCATTTGCTGTATGCCAGGCACTGGGCTAAGTGCTTTACGTACATTATCTCCTTTAGTCTTCACAACAACCGAATGAGGCAGATATTATTTTTTTACTCCTACGTTGCTACTGAGAAATAGAGATGAGGTTAGTGACTGCCAAGATCAGGAAGTAGGAAGAAGTGGGATAGAACCAGGATTTGAACTCTCGAGCAGAAGACCCCCTTTCTTCCATATACAATTCTTCCTGTTTCTCATGCCCCTTGGCAAGCGCTCTCTCTCTCTCTCTCTCTCTCTCTCTCTCTCTCTCTCTCTCTCTCCCTCTCTCTCTCTCTCTCCCTTTCTCTCTCTCTCTCTCTCTCTCTCTCTCTCTCTCTCTCTCTCTCTCTCTCCCCTGCCTCTTCCTCCAGGAAGCCCTCCCTGATTGGTGGTGATGGTGGTATAAGTCCTGGGTCCTCAGGTTACCCTTCCTCCTGCCACCAGGTTGGGTAGAGGCAGGCTTTGTCCTGGGCTGAGGGCTCTACTATTCTTCAGAGATGAAAACAAGACTGTTTCAGAGGTTTGGAAGGAGGATACTTTATGTTTTCTATCTTCCTGCCTCAACATTTTCATCTAGAGTTGTCATCAGAATAACATAGTGACATCTGAGAAGTGGTTTACAGAGCACCTCCACATGCACAGTCCTTTGAGACACACCATCACCCTTCAGGATGGAAAAGCATTGATATTAGCCCATTTTACAGGTGAGAAAACAAGACTTTGAGAGATGAAGGGATTGCTCAAGGCTGCACAGTAGAGAGAAACAGCACTGGGACTGGGCCTTTCCCTGAGTCCTAGGGCAGTCAGTAATCAAGGGCAGCAGAAAGGGTTCAGAGTTGTGAAAGGATAACATCTGCTGGGGGAGGAGGAGGGAAGGCCGCAGAACCGAGGAAAGGCTGAAGGAGGAGGCTTGGTGAAGGGGACTGGAGGCTGCTGGGGGCAGCGCTGATGTCAGTACTCACTGGATGGCCCATCGTTGTTAAAATACTCAAGTACTTCCATGCTGGTAAGCCAAAGGGTGCTGTCTGAGCCTTCTGTCTCCCTTCCTAGAACTACCCTGCCTCCCAAAATCCAGCAACTGCAGGGGAGTTAGCAACCCTGCACTGCAGTGGACCTCTAAGACCCACCGCCTGCCCAGTGCTCCACTCTGATTGGTTGGTGCCCATGCCATTCTGGTTGATAAGCATTTGACTATCTCCCCACTTCAGGTATATCAGGTATATGAACCAGCAACTATTGGGTGCCTGGACCTCCCTAAAGCTTCTCAGGAACACAGTGGTTAGGGAGATCAGTACAAGAGCGTATTGGAGAATGGTGAACAGGAATAGGAAAATGACATCAACGACTTGAGCTTCTATTTCCAATTCTCCATGCCCTGGCTCTTCAGTCACAGTCTCCAGAGGGAGAAAGCATTGTGAGGATTCTAAGCGGTCTCATAAGATTTGGTCTGTTGGCCAGAGCAAGGGATGATGGTTCGCGGGAGCAGGAACCCAGCACACCAGGCCAGGGCCTGGGACCTCTCCCTGTCCCTAGCTGTGATGAGGGTGGGAGGGGCCATTCTGGGGCCTGGGAGCGGCTGGGACAGCCGGCTTGTCCAGCTAAGATGCCATGTCCTTTTACCCTACGAGACCCAAGTTCATTGTTGTGTTTGGGACATTCAGGATAGGGACAGTGCGTGGAAGAAAAGAACTGGACATGGGGGTGGGCTGTCTGTAAGGAATGTCCAATACCAGCATCTCCACTAACCTTGACCCTGGCCCTGCCCCACGAAGAAGCAGGGAGGCAGGGACCTCAGCCCCCAGGAGATGGGACTGTTTGAAGGCCCCCCCTGCGCACCCCCCCCCCCCAAAGCCTCTCCAGTAACCCAGAGGTTTTCTCATCAGGGATAACAGGAAAGACATGCTGGGGGCGGGGTGGGAAAGGAAGAGGAAATTGGCGCTTGAGCCAGACTGTGACACCCCAGCAGCCGGGAACAGGAGGGGGGGGCTCCCTCAGCACACTCTTTTTCCCTCGCCTTGGCGGGGGCCTGACGCCTTGAGAGGAAATGCCTCCTGTCCGGCTGTCCCTGGGCGGCTTCCAGATCCACCCACTCTCCTTCCAAAGGCCCCCAGATGTTGAGGCAGCTCCCCAGTCAGAATGAGTCTCCAGCACCCCTGACCACCCTTCTCTTGATGACAATAACAAGCATTAATGGAGCGCCCATTTGGGGCTGGGCTTCGGGCCAAACAGTTTACAAACATAATTCTCTGTCCATCCTGCGTGGCAGTTCCCATTGTCACGGCAGTTCCCCCGAGAAACGAAACGACTCCAGCAAGAACACAGATAACCTGAGCGGGGCTCCACCCCTCCTCTCATTTCTTGGCCTTCACCTCTTTCAGTTCCTGTCACTGGTGTCTTTTCCTCTTCTCATCCCCTAAATATGGGCATTTCCCAAGATTCAGTCTGTCTTTCCCTTGAGAAGCTCTTTTTCTCCAAAAGTTTAAGCCACTGTGGGTAGACTCATCAGGAATAAATCTCCATCTGCATTTCTGTGCGGGGGTGGGGGGGTGGGGGGGGGGGGGGTGGGGGTGGGGGTGGGGGAGGGGGGTGGGGGTGGGGGTGGGGGAGGGGGGGTGGGGGTGGGGGTGGGGGGGGTGGTGGTGGTGGTGGAGTGGGGTGTTGCTGTAGATACTCTACTGCCCTCTGCAGTTTACAGTGAC